TTTAGGAAATCACGACTTTATCATTCCAATTGTTTGATGATGAATTTGAATATCTTGAAAAATTACTTCCATCACGTCATTCAAAAATTCAAGAATATTGTCAATCAATTGAAGAACTTGAAATGGAACGAACTAATAAAGTGTGTTCATCAATAATTTTATTATGAAAAATATTTAATCTAAATCATTTCAAATGCCATCAAACCTTGTTCAGTCGATAATGTTGAACTATATAAATTTATTCTTTTGAAAAAAAAAGAAAATCATATTCTTTTGTTCTGTAAATTAGTCAAAACATCAACTACAACAGCACGAGCAAAAAGTAAGAGCAAGAGCAACAACAACAACTAAAAAAAAAAGAAGTTTTTAATAGTTTTTTGAGCATGATGATACTAGACGAAACGACCGCAAACGATGAAACCATCTAGAACGATAGATACATTATTTTGTAATATAATACTATATTATACATACGAGAAAATACGACATCATGTTATGAATGTCTATTAATTGTTGGTTCGTTTGTTTCATCTGCTCCTCCATTCGGTTATTTATGTTCACCTAGGGTGTGGGTGGTGGGTGTGGGTGTCAGAACTAGGAAAGTCGACACCCACACCCACCCCCAAGATCGGTCATTCAGGCCATCTGAAATGCACAGTTTTCAGACTTTTGCGATTGTATTTGCCATTTAGGACGAACATTACGGCAGGAGTATCAGGGAAGTACAACAAAACAAATTTATAAATTCTTGAGCATTATTATACCGCAAGAAATGACCGCAAACGATGAAATCACCTAGAATAATAGATAAGTTATTTTGTAATTTTATACTATATTATACATACCACAACACGGTTTAGCAGCTTGTTAATATGATTGAGTTCATTTTGTATCGTGTTCGTCTTTGTATTTAGTTCTTTCAGTTCATCTTTAATTTCCGACATTGATATAGTAGTAGTAGTACTATTTGGAGATGATTGTATTGATGGCGTGAGTATTGGTATTGGCAAGGTATGGGTGTGGGTGTGGATACTGTATTATCATACGTCCACATCCACCCACATTCCATGATGACGGTAATTGAGGTGACCACTGCCACAGACGAAACGACCTAAAACAATAGATAATTGATTTTTGCATGTAATACTATATTATACATACGACGAAATAAGACGTCCTATTGTGGATGTCTATCAATTCTTGATTCATTTTTGTCATCTGCTCATGCATTTGTTTGTTCGTGTCTACCGTTTGCTTGTTCATGTCCGCCATTTGCTTATTCATATCCATCATTTGTTCGTTTAATAATTTCAGTTGATCCATGATGGGATTCCATGAATTTGAAGATGACGAATTGAATGATATTGATGGTGTTAGTACTGGATCAGAGAACAAACTTGGTCCAATACAGACGCCATTAACTATCACTAAAAGTTGATTTTGTTCAGGTTGTTCCATTTGTTTTAAATAGTATTGCTAGGGTGAATCACACAGAAAATTCAATAAAATTAAGGGCGTGGGTGTGAAAACTAGGAAAGTCAACACCGACCCTCAAGATCGATCATTAAGACCATCTGAAATGCACCGTCTTCAGACGTTTACTATTGTATTTGCCATTCAGGATGAACATTACGACAGTAGCATGAGGGGAGCAAAATAAAAAAAAACTTTAGTTTTTTAATATCATAATTGCCATTGGGATCGAGGAGACTACTGCCAACGACGAAACCACCTAAAATAATAGATAAGTTATTTTAGAATGTAATAGTATATTATACATACCACAACACAGTTTAGCAGCTTGGCAATATAACTGAGTTCTTTCTCTATTGTGTTCATTTTTACATTTAACTGAGTCAGTTCATCATGTATCTGTGTTATTGCTGAATTGTTAGGCGATGATATTTGCATAGACAGCGAACTTGGGCGTGGGCGTGGACGTATGTGTGGATGTGGATATTGTGCTATCATTCGTCCACACCCACCCACGCTCCTCAATATGGTTTTTTTTGGCATTACAATGCTACAAGGAATCACGGCGAATGACGAAACCATCTAAAGCAATAGACATATTATTTTGTAATGTAATACTGGATTATACATACAAATAAATAAGATAATTTTTTATTTATGTTAAGTAATTCCAAGACTAATTCTTTATTCATATTGACCATTTCTATATGGTTATTTTGTAACATGTCATTCATATTGATCATTTGTAAATTGTTATTCTGAATCCTTTCATTCATGATTTTCAGTTCATCATGAATTTGTGTAATAGACGCGTTATTAGGTGAATTTTGAACGGATAAAGAATCTGCTTCGGAATTTGAGGTGGAATCACCTCTAACCCCGTTGATTGCTGCTTCAACTAATAACGTGTTTTCATCACTCATCTTTTTGTGTACTCAAAAAGTGAGTACACTTCTAGAATCGGTCAGTGTGGCCGGCCGTCCGGCCGTCCGGCCGTATGCACGATAACGTTTGAAAAAATAGTCCGATTGAGCTGAAATTTTGTACACAATTCAATCTCATATAGACCTCGGTCGAGTTCGAAGATAAGCCTAATTGGCCGGGTCATTCCCGAGTTATTGAAAAAATACTCATATTTCCCTATGATTTTTCTATATTTTTTTGGAGGGAAAAATAATATAATACCATTCTCGTAAGCAACTTTTCTACCAAAGTCTAATAATATTCCACTTATTATAAAGCATTCAATAGAGAATTGCACAAGCTACAAGATGGTACTAAATTATAGGGGTAAACGGGTTGCACACAAGATGGTCCCTGTATAACAGAGTGGGTAAACTATAGAAAACTCATATATGTTGATAATGTGTCAGTGCAGTATTTGTTTGTTTTTCATATTACTAATAACACTTTTTCTAGAGTAGATAGAACTCATCAAGAGCTTGAAAATGATGTAAAACAATAGGGGTAGATATGCTGCGTTCGATATGTCTTTAGTATCACACTTGTGAAAAACCATGAAAAAACCATATACCTTGATAGTGTGTCTGTGTGATATTCGTTTGTTCTCTGTAGAGTCAACGTTATTTTTATGTACTCAAAAAGTGAAGTTCACGATAGATTGATTTTGATCAATCCGTCTAAAAGAATTCATCCTGGAGCGCACTAAGGAACTACCCTTTGGTCCCTGTGGATGCCCTCGTTTTAGTGTATTCGGAAAATGAGTACATTACTAGAATCGATCAGTGTGTTCGGCCAGCCGTTTACACGATACCTTGCGAAAGGAGAGTCAGATATTGATGAAGTTTCTATACGGTTTAGACTCATAAAGATTTCGGTCGCGTTCGAAGATGAGCCTAATTGGCTGGGTTATTCCAGAGTTGTTACAAAAATACTTATATTGCCCTATGATTTCCATATACACTTTTTGCAGTACACATAACTCTCGGATACAATCCGAAGTTTCCACATTTATTTTTACTGTTTTGGATCAGGTGATGAAGTTTATGGTTTCGACTGTGATGGAATAAGTAAAACAAATTGATAATCCCAAAATATAATCTTGAGGGTGTGGGTGTAAGTGTGGATTTCGTATTATCAGATGTTTACGACATCTTTTACCTTCCCATTCCCTTGACATCCTCGCACTAACCCGTATGTCTCCTTTCTCTTCACCATCATTCACTCAAGTAAAGACTTAATTTTCTTTTCGTAGTGGTATAATCTAAAATAAAAAATGAAAGTCATTTAAAATAAATAATAGATTTTCAAGCCACAATTCTCGTACTATTGGATATTTAAGCGTCGTATATTATGGAACTTACTTTGGTCGAATAGACCCGTCATAGTACATTATAATACCTCCACAAATCGAAGAACTCTACCACAGTTTTCAACTAAGCTAAAAAGTAGATCTTCACTTACTTCGGTGGTTCTCAGGATCCGCGCTTTTTCCTCGTCAGTATGATACTATTAAAGTTCATTATGTCTGCTTTTCATTTTCTCTCAAGTTCTATCAGTTGGTTGAAGCAACTTATTGGAATACTATACTGTTAAAAAACTCACTCTTTCTTCGTAATGAAAACAGTTTAAGTATAAACTAAAAATTAGTCATTATGCTTTAAAATTATCTAGCTTTGATCGCGATTCAGATGACCCTAAATAAGAAATGGAGATTTATTTAATGTACTTTAAAATACTTTAGTCTTTGTTTGGGATGAAAACGGTACTGTAAAAAAATAAATTTTAGCAAATATAGTTTAAAATAACTTACTCTTTCACAAGTCAATATTCTTCCGATCGTTCTTTCCAGATTTTTGTTTTGCTTAATACTTGGTTAAGATTCTTCTTTAGTCCTGAGATTCAGATCAGATACTTTTAGCAGGAAAAGAAAAAAGATTGTTCTGCGAAGTTGATGATAAAAAGACTGTACATTGATTAAGAGCAAAGAACGAATCTTAGATGAATTACCAGAAAATTGGAATTTTTGGTATTTCAGACCACATTCTTTTGACAGAAAAAGGAGAAAGATTCTTGCTGATCTTACACAAAAGCATTGCGTGATGTCTTTTTGTACATGCATTTTTAAATATCAACGTTTGAACACTACTTATTCATTGTTACAAAACGACAGTTAAGAGTCATTGTATTCAATTAAACGAACAAAGTGTATCGTTTTTAAATAACGTATCAGGCACATCATAATATCAGGTAAGCGAAAATATTTAATAATAAACATACTTTTATTAACTAAATGGCAAAAAATGACGGCAACAACAAACAAAATTCATTAATATATGATAGTAAATGATCACATAAAAAATATCATTTCTATGTGGCTGAAATAACAACAAAAGAATCTATTAGCTAGATGGTATAAAATAACAACAGAATAGACGATTACTATGTGGTATACAACCACAACAAAAAAAAAGAACGATCTTGAGTGATGGAAAAAAAATTTTTTATTTTTTTATGAGCATAATTAAAATTGAAGACACCAGTGCCGTCGACGACACTACCTAAAACAATAGATGAATTGTTTTTGAGGATGTAATACTAGATTATATACTTACCATAAAATATGACAACGTTTTATTTATATCAATTAACTGCTTATTTATATCATCTAACTGCTTATTCACACGTTTTAGCTCTTTTGTGATCGATACCATTGCGCTGTTGTTGATGTGACGGATTTCATCCATCACTATCTCTTCTATATTCTTGTATGCACATATCCGCCGTGCATGTGCATACACATCGGTCATTTCTCGTTCTTTCTTCGTTTTTTTATCCGCTCGTCATTATTTCATACTCATTCTATTAAATAAAGCAGCAACGTGTAGGCGTTGCGTTACACCTTCGTTTATCTCTTCCCCCTATTTGACCTTGTGACCGTTCTTCTATTTCTTCCATCTCTTTAGCCTTATGTTTAGGATTTGACTTTTGCATTAGAAACGGGCAGGTCATCATAACTATTTTTTCTTCCCTTCTGCTCATCTGTTACCATAAAACGAATGAATCGATTGTTGAATTGTTTACAAATTTGTTCGAATCAACCAGAGACCGGCGGGACAAGGATTTTTCTGTCCCGTCCCGTGTTGATAACGAACTGTTCCGTCTCCCGCGCAAAAAAAACAATTTCAGCGTCCCGTCCCGTCCCGCCGTGTCTTATCAAAAACTTTTATCAATTTATTTTATAAATAATAAAGATTTACGTAGTATTTTACTATTAATTTTCTTTTAGTATTTATTTTCTTTAACTGTTTATTTTTAAATAAATGTATTAAACACATGGGGCAAAGACAAACAAAAAATATGTTTATTTCTTGAATATTATGATCCCAATTCCAACGACGGCTAGCGACGACATCACCTAAAACAATAGAGAAATTATTTTAGAATATAATGCTAAATTATACATATGAATAAATTTGTGAATTTGCTATCGAGGTTAGATAATTTGGTGTCCATGTCAGATAATTTTTTGTTCATTTTCATTAATTCGGTGTTCATTTTTGTTAATTCATCATGAATTTGTGATATATTGTTCGGGAATATTTGTACAGAGTTTGAACTAGGAGGTGTTGGTTCCGAACTAGAGTTTGAACCTCCAGCACCACCATTCACAATAACTAATAAAGGAGCTTCTTCCATTTTATATAAATGGTATTTTATCTGTTGGTGAAAGTAAGTTTATGGCTATGTTCACATTACGAAGATAAAATTGTTTTGTTTTTGTTTTAACAATTACACCGGCAAAAAACCAGGATGTGGGTGTGGGTGGATGTGAGAACTAGGAAAGTCGACACCCACCCCCACCCTCAAGATCGATCATTCAGACCATCTGCAAGGCACCGTTTTCGGACGTCTGCGATTGTATTTGCCATTTAGGACGAACATTACGGCAGGAGTATCAGGGAAGTACAACAAAAAAAAATTTATAAATTCTTGAGCATTATTATACCGCAAGAAATGACCGCAAACGATGAAATCACCTAGAATAATAGATAAGTTATTTTGTAATATAATAGTATATTATACATACCAATAAAAACGACATCATGTGATGAATGTTTACCATCTCTTTGTTTGTTTGTTTGATTTGGTCCTCCCATTTATTATTTGAGTCCAACATTTGTTTATTGATATCTATTAGTTGTCTATTATTATCCATCATTAGATCGTTTAATAGTTTGAGTTGATCCATTATTGGATTAAATGAATTTGGCGATGATGAATTAAATGATATTGATGGTGTTAGTACTGGGTCAGAGGACAAACTTGATCAAATACCAACGCCATTAACTACAACTAAAAGTTGATTTTGTTCAAGTTGTTCCATTTGTTTTAAATAGTACTGCTAGGGTGAATCCCACCGAAAATTCAATAAAATGAAGGGTGTGGGTGGTGGGTGTGGGTGTCAGAACTAGGAAAGTCAACACCCACACCCACCCTCAAGATCGATCATTCAGACCATCTGGGATGCACCGTTTTCAGACGTATACGATTGTATTTACCATCCAGGATGAACATTACGACAGCAGTATGAGGGAAGCAACATATAAAAAAAATTTAGTTTTTTAATATCATAATTGCCATTGGGATGGAGGAGACTACTGTCAACGATGAAACGACCTAAAATAATAGATAAGTTATTTTGGAATGTAATACTAGATTATACATACAAATAAATATGAATTTGTTTTGTTCATATTAATTAATTATTTGTTCATCTGTTTTAGTTCATCATGAATTTGTGATATATTGTTCGGCGATATTTGTACAGAATTTGAACTTGGTGGTGTTGGTTCAGAACTAGAATCTGAACCTCCAGCACCACCATTCACAATAACTAATAAAGGATGGGTGTGGGTGTGGATTTTATATCATCATATGTTTACGACATCGTTTACCTTCCCATTCCCTTGACATCCTCGCACTAACCCGTATGTCTCCTTTCTCTTCACCATCATGCACTCAAGTAAAGACTTAGTTTTCTTTTCGTAGTGGTATAATCTAAAATAAAAAATGAGAGTCATTTAAAATAAATAATAGATTTTCAATCCACAATTCTCGTACTATTCAATAATCAAGCGTCGTATATTATAGAACTTACTTTGTTCGAATAGATTCTTCATAGTACATTATAATACATCAAAAATCGATGAGCTTAACCACAGTTTTCAACTAAGCTAGAAAGTAGATCTTCACTTACTTCGGTGGTTCTCAGGACCCATGTTTTTTCCTCCTTAGCATGATAGTATCAAAGTTCGTTATGTCTGCTTTTCATTTTCTCTCAAGTTCTATCAGCTGATTGCAACAAATAACTGGAAAGGATATAATTAGTTGAATATTTTCAATAAAACTCATTTTCCAAATACTTTAGATACTGTTACGAACTCGCTATAACAGATACAAATGTTTTATTTTCAACAGTTCTTACGAACTCATCGATATGTAATGCAAAACTCTATATTTATTAAAAATATTGGAATTAATGTTTAAGAAATACAGACATTTTAAAACTAAAAAGTTTCTCTCTCTGTGTGTTTCAGTTTTAATCTTATGGATAATTTAATTATGATCAGTTTTTTTTTAAATTAATAAATACTAATCGCAAGTTTCTTATAAGACTATTTGTGAACGTGACCAGTTCTACTTAAGAATAAAATGAAGTAATCTGATTGTTTTAAAAGAACTTGATTCAATATTTATATGAAAATTAAGTATAGATACACTCGATAGTTATAAAATGAGACGGTCAATCCAGTTCTCCAAAAAGTGATTTAAAAAACTTATTAAATGAAACTCCTTTTAAGTACGATTTGTGATATAGATAGTGATCTTATTTAATGAAAATAATTCTTGATTCGATAATACAATCGCACCACATATCATCGCAAAATAATCATGAATATTAAGAAATCGTAGTCGAGTGAAACCCGAACACCATCTAGTATTTCAAAGTCATTCGTTTCTAAGTCGATAAATTACATCAAAAATACATTATACTTATAGTAAATAGAAGAAAAGAAAATGCAAAGTAACATATTTGCAGTACAGCAAAAAAGAAATTTGTTTGTTTGCAGCATATTTTATAATTTTCAATTAACAATAGAATGCAAAAAGTTATTGAATGCGTACCAAATTTCAGTGAAGGTCAACGAAAAGAAGTAATCTTTGTGTTTATATTATTTTTTTAATAATATTCAAAAAAAAAATTTATTTTCAAGGTTATTGATGCAATTGCACATGCTATTTCATGTATTGAAGATGTATCTTTATTGGATATTGATTCTAGTGTATCAACAAATCGTACAATTTATAGTAAAAATTCGAATTTATTAGATAGATTTTATTCGTTTTTTTTAAATAGCATTTGTAGGCCATCCACGCGCAGTTATTGAAGCAGCAATAGCTGCAGCTCGATGTGCACATAATTTAATTGATATGACAAAACATACTGGTGAACATCCACGAATTGGTGTCATGGTAGACTATGTTTTAAAAATGCAGTTTTATTTTTGTAGATAATCTCTTAGGATGTTGTACCATTCATACCTGTTCGAAATGCTACAATGTCTGATTGTATTGATATAGCACTTGAATTTGCTAATCGTTTAGCTTCAGAATTACATGTACCTGTTTATTTATATGGTGAAGCACAAGAAAAAGAGTATCGAAGAGATTTAACACAGATACGTAATGGAGAATATGAAGCACTTTATGATAAAGTAAGAAATGAATATTTATAGTGAATTTTATTGATGCGTGTTTTTTAATGATTACTTAGCTCAAAAAAAAAGAATGGCAACCTGATTTCGGTAAGAATTGAAAGAATAATCTAATATATAATTAAATTTTATATGTAAGGACCGAGTGAATTTGTTCCATCATGGGGAGCTACTTGTGTTGGTGCAAGAAATTATTTAATTACATACAATATCAATTTATTTAGTACAAAGGAACAAGCTCATCGTATTGCTTTAAATATTTGTGAAGAAGGATCAAACAGCAATGAAGTAAATGAAAATAAATTATTTTCACAATTAAATTTCTCTAATTTTAGATTGAAAAATTAAAATGTATACGTGGTCATAGTTGGTGGTATGAAGAAGGCAATTTAGCACAAATTGCTTTTAATTTAATCGATTTTGAAGTAACTAATATTCATACAGTTTATAATCAATGTGTTGCAGAAGCTAAAATGCTTAATATTGGTGTTTGTGGCTCTCAAATTCTTGGTATTATACCATTAAAATCTTTATTAATGGCTGCAGATTATTTTATTGAAAAGGAAAATTTATTTATTCTTGAAGAAGATCAAAAAATTCGTTTAGTTATAGATCGTTTGGGTTTAAATTCGATTACACCATTTAATCCAAAAAAACGAATTATTGAATATATTATACATGAAGATGAAAGTATAACTTCAATGAAATTAAAAGATATTATGAATCATATTGGTTCACGAACATTAATACCTGGTGGAAATTGTGTTACATCACTTGTTGCTACATTAGGTGCAGCATTGGGCACAATGTGTGCATTATTAACCTATGGAATGAGAAAAGTAATCAATAGAAAAAAATTTGTTCGATTTGATTTTTTTTATTAAATTAATAGTGGGAATTATTCGAAAAAGAAATACGAATAATTATTACTTCATTACATACAGCAATAAAATCATTAATGAATACAGTTGATACAAATACAGAAGCATTTAATAAATATCTAATGGTACAGCAAATGACAGAAACAACTATTGAAGAAAAACGTTTGTACGTTTCAAAAGAGATACTTGAAATTTGTTTTAAAATTTTATTTTTAGTAAAAAAATGACTGATAAATATTGTTTAGAACATTATCTTGATATTTCATTAGATGTAGCACAACAGATTAATAGTCTATAGGAACCATTTCAACGATTAGCACCATTATTTAATATTGATACTAAAGCAGATTTTATAGTATATATATATGAAAATATATAACTTAAAAGAAAAAATTATACTTTATTCATTGTAGGTTGGTATCAAATGTCTCGAAACAGCAGTATATGGCATATGTAAACGTATTGAATTCTTTTCTACTTCAACTTTATATAGTGATTCACAAACGGAGGTCAATTTTTATTTTAATCGTTTGTCTTTAATTATTATATTAATATTTAATTTAGATTATACAAAATAATTATGTAGATGCAGCAAAACAATTACTTGAAATCGCACAAAATATGACACAAACTATTTTAGCAATAGTTGAAATAAGAAATTAAAATAATAACTTTAATATAATCTATGAATTCATTAGTTTTATTTAATAAATTACACTATTGTCATGATATGATACTGTTTGATAATAGAAAGTTCTTTATCCTAACTAAATAAAACTTCATAAGACTTCGAAAATCAAAGATACTAGGAAATAAAATTTTCATTTCTATTTATTCAATAAAATTCATTTATTTATTTTTTAAAAACCAAGTGAACGAATACGGACAATAAAATCCGATTTATTAATTTTTCCTGCTACACCTTTGATACTGAAGTAGAAATTTTTTGCATTTGCTGGTACATATGTTGTATATACTTTTCCAGTACCATTAACAGCACGACGACTAATACTTCTTGATGAATATGATGATGGATTTTTATTTGTTGTCGATGTGTATATCAAAGCCTAAGAATATTAAAAAAGAAAATCAAAATTCATATTAATAATATTTTTTTTCAATAATTTACTTGTCCTTCTCGATCATTTAATTCGATTTCAAAAAATGCATTCTTTTTCAATGTATTCATTTTAAAATATCGACTTGAATTTGCTGACATTTCACTTTGAATTTTTGTATCTGGTAAAACAAATGCAGGAAATTCACACATTTTTTCTGTTATAGCATTTGTAATACGAGCTAAATCGAGATAAGAATCAATATTCATTACATAATCCGAATCACCAGCAATGTCAAGTAATTCAGCTTTGCCAACTGTACCAATATTTCCAATACCCACTGCAAAAACTGTTCCTTCAATTGGTGCTGAACGTAAAGCTTTAGCAGCTGGTATTGCAGGAAGACCTTCATTACTTTGTCCATCAGTAAATATAGCAAAGACTCTTGGAATTCCTTGTCCTGCACTTCGACATCGGGCTTCACAGTAATTTTTTGCTAAATCTAGAGCATCACCTGTAGCTGTATTAGTACCTATTTGTTTTAAAGCAGCTACTTGTTGGAGTAATTCTCTACGATCAAATTCATATACATCATTTATTGCACTAAGTTCCATAGTTGATGCATAATTAATAATAGCAACACCAGCTTTTTGTACACCAACATTAAGACGACTAACAAGATCAATCAATGCTTTTTTACCTTGTTCAAAATCATTTGAAGGTACACTACCTGATGAATCAATAATAAGAGTTAAATCAATAAAAGCTTCACATTTTGGATTTTGACCATACACATAACCAGAAAATGTAAAAACAGAAATGATCAAGAAAGTGATTGATAACATTATCGTTTGCTTTGTAATTGTAGTGAAGTAACATACTTTTTCTCACTATTTTTATATGAATGCAAATGATATTGATATTTTAAATCCTCTTTTGATTAAAGTATTTAATGACGTGAGAAAATATACAAAAGTTATTTTCAATTCGTTGTATGCTACATGAATAAGATATAATACTTGTGCATACATTGAGAGTGGGTGCTATTGTCATGTTTTGGAAGATAATATCTAAAAAATATTAGACATATAGTTTTTCATTGTTTTACTTCCTAAAAAAAGGATTATAAGAAACTGAGATAATAATCAATTTTCTTTATCTTTAATACAATATTATTCATAATTTTACTCGGACTATATTCGATGAATTATATAAAATGAAATCAATATTCACGATGACATATATTTATAAACTTATATTTGTTTTTTTTCTCTTGATTGATTCACATTTAAAAAAAAAATAAACAAAACAAGACAACAATGAAAACTAGATGCGCAGAAAATAAGAAAGACCACACAATTAACCAATCTATATACAAAATACGAAATGAAAAATGTTAATAAAAAAATTGAGCAACAATGAAAATAAAACAAAACAACAAAATGAACTTTTTATTTATTTTTTTTTCTCATTCGTTTAGAGATTCATTTAATGTCCACTTCCATGTTTCCAATTTTCACTCGGATCAAGATGAATAATAGTAGCATTCGTACTAGTCGTTAATTTTTTCGATGGTGTTGTTGGTCGAGTTCGACTTGTTGATGTTTGACGTTGTAGATCAACACGAGTATTTTCACAAATACTTACAGATTGTGCACGACGCATACCGGCATATTCTGATTCATTCTTAAATATATATATGTATCAAATGTCATTATTAAAGAATAACAAAAATATATATTTTTATCTTACGGATCGTTGTCCGGCCAGACTCACTTTTGATAATGTTGTAGGATTCTGTATTGTATTATTACTAAATTCATTTTCACTATCTTTTTCTAATTGATATATTCTAAAATAATATAAATAAATACAAATTGTTATTTCCTTTTTTCTATTCTACTTTGACATTTGTCTTTGTTCATTTGATCTTAATGAAATTTTTGATGCAACACTTGCCGATCGTAAACGTACACGAACATGTGGATCCATTTCATCTTCTTCATCACTTGGTATCATACCAGATAATTCACATTGACGTTCTTGTAATTTAATAAGTAATTCACGAAATTCTCGTCTTAATTCTTCTAATTTTGTTGTAATTATTAAACGTTGTGTTTGACTTGATGGATCAGTCATATCAACATTTTCAAATTGACTTTTTAATGAAAGTAATTCTTGTTGTAATGATGACATTTTCGATTGAATCTATTAATTAACAGACAAAGAAAAAAATATATATATTTTTAATATTTTTTTATTTTACTTCTTCAATTGTTAAATCTTCAGACATATCCGATATACTACTAATACTCTTTTTTGGTAGAGGAAATTTTTGTGGTCGAGTTGTACGACGAATTTCACCTGGAATTCGACGATGTGCAAGAAGATCTTGAACAACATTTAACTAAATAATCAAATAAATATAATTAAATAAAAGATTTCTTTTGTTTTATTTTATACTTGTTGATTAAAACATTCAGTAAAAAATTGTGGATCAGGTATAAGATTTGAATCAACAATAACAGCAAGACGAATTTCATCAGCATATGTTGTTACACAAAAATTGATATTATGTGTACCAATACTTGGATTAAGACATATTAAACTTCGAACATCTCGATTGCATATAGATATTGTTGCTAATGCTGTACTACTACCAGCAGTTATTGTTGTTAACCATAAACTAGCATTATTATAAATACGAGCCATTAATCTATTAGCTAAAAATAACGAGAGCGAAAGAAATGAAAGTGTTTTGATTTTTTTTCGGTATAGAATATGTATTCTTACCGATACTAATAGGAAATAGAAGATAACTGATATAATTAAATAGATACATTGTAGCATAATCACCATTTTGTTTCATTCGTTTCGTATCATCATTAAATGACCATAATGTTGGAATATTTCCTTCAATATTTATCGGTATTTTAAGAGATAAATGTGCAATATGATTTCCCATAACAATATTCGGTGTATTCGAACGTAGATCACATGGCATAATACAATTTATATTTTCGGAATTGGATAAACTATTTATGTAAAAGAAAACGAATTTCAATAGAATAATTCAATTGAGAAATAGCTATTTCTTTTAATACATATAGTGTAGAGATTACTATTCCCAAATGATATTTTTCTCTTTTGAATTCTTTATTGATCAATGTAAATTAGAAGTAGTCTCAATGGATATATGAATATTAAATTTTTTTTCTTCTCGAAATAAAATTTACGAAAAAATATTTTTTTTAATATTATTCATTGATATCTTATTGAAATAAAATCAATTCTATTATTAATATTTTTTTCTATTTGAGAATATAGTTGTCACATTTAATATAATAAAGGAAATATAATTATGATAAAAAAAAATTGTGAAAATCTCTTGAGAACAGACTTCAATGTTTTTTTTCTATGATATGTCATTCAATTCTATTACGAAAATGTTATTGATGTTTTCTTTGAAGAATTCTTATTATGAAGAAAAAAGGTCAAAAAAATCTTACCCATGTTTTTCTAAATATAATCTGACACAGGATATAACTAATGTTGAAAGAAGATCATTCATACGTGTTCGTGTAACAAGTTTCATTCGATTAGCTTGTGTTAAACTAAATGGTGTAGACCAATGTACTATTCGTTGTCGTTGATTAGATAAATTCGAATTATTTGTTGATATATTTACAATTGGATTTTTTAAAATAATTCGTTTTAAAAAATTATCACGAGAAGAATTAAAAAATATTTTACTACATAATAACATATGACCAAATAAATATGCTTTAAGATAATCAAATATATGTTCACCGTGACGACCAGCAAAACGTGGTTTTAAATCAAGTTGAGTCGTACGATTATCAACAAGATGTTTTAATAATATACGAATTAATGATATACCATCAGATAATATCGGATGATAGAGAAATATAAGAATACTATCATTTGGACGTATTGATGTACGATTTTTATAATGTAATTGCCATAATGGTCGAGTAAGTGTTAATTCACTTGAGACAAGTGTTGACACATAAGATTGAAGATCTTCATCATTTTGTATATTTCGTGGTATTTCACGTACATGTTCATCAATAGAAAAAGCGGAATAATCAATCCACATTATACCAGAAAAATGTGAAACAATTAATTGAGAAAAACGTGGAAATATTTTATGTCCAATATTTGAACCACGTCGAGAAGTATTAGTTACAGCACGATTAATTAAAAGTTTTTTTAAAGATTTTTCATTTATTGTACCTATAATGAAAATATTAAATTATTACTAATACACAAATATTTATTTAATATTACCATCAAGAAAAAATATTGCAGCTGCTACAGGTGCATTTGTTTGAGAATTTAATTTAGTTGTTTCTTCATTTTTATTTCGATTTATAGATGTATTACTATTATATAACCAAAATAAATCACTAGAAGATAAATAACTACATGTACATGGTGTAACTGTACAATGATATCGACAAGTAAGACGTATAAATGTTCGTAGAAGTAGAGATATTGGTAAAATAAGTGTTACTATAATAACACATGGAATAGATATAAATATTATAAAACCAATTTTTGATAAACGTCTTAAAAGAATAACAAATGCAGATTGATCAGCTGGATGAGTAACGTGTTTAACAGGCATTTTTTTTAGATAAGAAGTAGTTGTTTGTTGTTCATCATTTGTTGTTGATTGAATATAGCCAGTTTTATCTCGATTTAATGTTTGTTGTTGTTGAGGACGGGGCATATCAACTGGTTCGACACGTTGTGGAGGAAAAAGACTTGGTATCGCTGTTAATGATGGTTGGGGTGAAGATCTAACAGATGGTGAATGAGTAATAATAGTAGTCGTAGTAGGTATTGGGTTGTCACTACTATCTGGTTGATGATCAACGTCAAATGGAACAGAACCTTGATCAGCCACGGCTGGTTCAGCCCATCGACTGTCCACTTGCATGATCTTCTAGATTAATAAACATTTTATTATTTTTTTCTCATTAGAATAAATATATATTCTCTTTCTCATAGGACAAAAAAAAGTGGAACTGATACCCTATTTTATCTTCATAAAAATATGTGCTTTTTATTTTTTTTGCCAAATATATTATCAGTCAATAATAAAAGTGTTTGTTTCCTGTCGACAATATTTTTCTTCAACTAATCTTAATCAGTATAAAATAATAATAATAATAATAAGTAGCAGACAAGAAAAAGAAGAGAAGAAAAAGAAACTTGACGGATACTCATTTTTGAGAAAAGTCTTTTGTTTAAGAAAAGAAAATAAGTGTCATCAACATCCAATCAGGATATTCATTATGAGAAGTAAAAAAATGAACAACAAATTGTCTCATTAATTTCTTTAGTATGATAATCATCATACAAAAATATATAAATTTCTCTTACCTAGTACAAATTTGATCTTTAAGTTCATCGGTAAATAACATTGATTATGATAAATAGTTTTGATGGAAGACGAATTGGTATACATACTTCCTGCTGCTGGCAGTTCATCATTGTCGTGTCACAATATTCATTGGCATCATCCTGAAGAAATAACGAGCATACTACTCAAATTATTCTGTCAATGTGTTCTGTCTTTTTTCAGCTTATTCAAATCTGACTTCTAATGATTTATACACGTCTTCTTTTCAAAAAAAAAGAGTAGGAAAATCCGGAGTGTCACATCTCTTTCTTTTTCTGCCTGATTGACTGTCGCTGCAGTTAGTTATTAGGATCATGTGTTTTCAAGTAATGATACTAGAAAGGAAAAAGAAAAGAAAACAGAAATAAATATATAATTGTCAAGAATTATAAAAAGATAGATAGATAGGAAGAAGAAGAAGAAGAAGAAAAAAAGAAGAATGGCTAACTAGTATAACAACAAAAAGTTTGATTTGATCAAGGTCATTGTAGCGCAACGAAGAGAGTAAGACAACAATCACGAATGATGTGGCGTTTTTTTTTGTGAGAGTATATAAAGATGCATGCATACACGCACTATATTTTAGACAGCAAGACGCATGGTATTGTCATCATCATCGTAGGAAATAAAAGAGCATGGATTGTGATAGAAAAAGGAAGAAACAGAGCAAACAGTATACTAATGAATGAACAAAATGTGACTTTGTTGTATATTTTTTTATCTCTCATCACACATTCTATTGTTTTGTCAAAACACAACTTATCAATCATAGGGAAAAAGCACTATGCTTTATTTATCTAATCATTCTTTACTTATTCTATGATATTTATCTAGTAAAATAGAGTTCATAGAGAATTTTTTGTATATTTTAGAATATTAATTAACTTGTCATATACTTGTTGTTGTTTTCTTTCTTCTTACCTGACTTAATTTTGATGACGAATAATATTTGTCAAGTGATGAAGCATTATTACTACTAACAATGAGAAACAATCTCTCTACGTGTGTCTGTGTGCCTTTCTCTCCCTTTTCCTTTTTTTTTCTTCTGTTTTTTCTTTATAACTCTATTCAAGTGAGAAGAAGTAACCGGAGATGTGTATGTCTTCTCAATTGCTAGTCGAACTGGTGGAAGTTGTTCTACACAATTAAACTAGCAACACTATCGTCATTGTGTTATCAGCGCGCTTGTCGTCAATATAAACTCTTCTCATTTATTTCCTCCCATGTTTTTGCTTTTTTTGCAGCCCACTTGTTCGTTGCTTGCTCATCACTAACTAATAGCAGACGGTTGATGCGACCGGCGGTATGTGAATGTAGCATCTCGTTTTTCACCCTCAGCTTTAGTTAGAAACACATCCACATATATATGAAAAAAAGAAAGAAGAGCTCCATATTTTTCTCTCGTTTTTCCTTCCTTGAAAACAATTCCCTGAACAGCACACTATAGAACGATAACAGAACTTATTTCATCCGAGAAACATTACCAAGAACAACAATAAAAAGAATGTAAAACTGAAAGAGGAAAAGAGAGAACTAACATCATTATTCCTTTCGTTCGTAGTTTTAGCCATTTTACAGTCGACCTAGTCTATCAATAATAGAAAACAACGAATTAGCAAGTCTTTTTTTTCGGTTCAAATTGTTCCTTTTGTTAAGAGGAAGTTATTAGTTAAATTAGTTCTCAAAGAAGAAAAAAAAGAAACTTTGTCATTTTAAGAATTAGGATAAGTAGTTTAAAGTAGACAGTTAGCTATATCCTCTTAATCTAAACTTTAAAAATCTTCTATAAGATATATTATTAAAAAATCAATTTACTCAAAATAACAATACTTCAATTTAGACTCTTAATAGAATAGAGAGAAAAAACGAAGAAGAAGAAGAAGAAGAAGAAAAGCCTTGATATAAATAATCAAAAAAATAAATAATTCATATATCTTTTCTATCTCATATCATTAAATAAACAAAGTTTTATGTTTCATTAGAAAAATAATCAGTATTTATGTTCTTGATTTTGTATGACAAGAATGTTTCATAATATCCATACATGCATATTTGCCAGAATATACAAAAAAAAGAAGAAGAAGAAGAAGAATTTCTATTGATTTATAAAAGACTAATTAAGAAAAAAAGAAATTATATATATATAGAATGTATGTGTGTGTGTGTTATATCGAGATGCATTCCCAAGAGTAAGAGATTAGTTTTCGATGTATATGATGAAAAAAATAAAGTTTTATTTATTTATGATTGGTCTATTCCAAAATTAAACAATTAGATTTTTTAATTCATCTGATGTTAATCGTATGTCATATGATTTAAATTATAAAAACGATATGTTAAACTTCAAGTCATAAACAGACTTCATAATAATAAAAAATGGTTTTTTAACATAGAAAAATTATTTATGTTAATCGAACTGTGACATAAGTAATTAATAATTTATAATAAAAATTAAATTTACACACTGCTTTTTCTGGTTTTTGTGTTCATCAAGTTGAAAGAAAATAACAGTCTACTATTGTGTGACATGAATTCATCTTTTATTTCCTTCAACAAGCATATTTTTCTGCACTGATTCTGGTACCTCTTTTATAAAATATCATATTTCTAAGTAAAAAAAGATCAACGAGTAGTTTGTCACATACATGAAAATATTTTAACAAACGTATCAAGGTTTAAACTGTAATTTTATTTGATTCATTAAGAATTATTTGTATACTAATGAATATATTGTAGTCTGGAATCTATGAATCTTCTTCTCATATCTATTAGAGAACATTCATAAAAAAAATGACAGACGTCATAGTACTAATAAACAGTTGATTATTTAACGAGTTTTTCTCATAGTATTACTTCAATATTCTAACAGATTTTTCTCTTATCTAATGGTAACTAAAAACAAAAAATTAGAATGTAATACTCTTGAAAAATTTTATCTCTAGTAGTATAGATAATCGATTAGAAATGTGCGTATGTCTTACCTTAGAACAGAAGGACATCTTCAGGAATATAATCTAAAAATAAAATTAAAATTAAAAACGTGTTTATAATCGATAAATCTATAGAAAGTATTTATTTTTTGTTATTTAATAAATGACTCATCTATGGATAAAATTTTCATTGGTTTTCTAAATGTCTATACGTATTCAATGTCATATCAACGTGGCCATTCTTGAAATCTGAGGAGTATAATATAAACTGTCTTTTCTATATCGTGCAATAAATCTTTGGCAATTATGAATAGTGCAACAAGTACTCCTCCTCCTACTGCTTCTTCAACTACTATGAATGATGATAAAATATCAGATCAATTAATTATTAAAGCACAATTAGGTGATGATATTCGTAAAATGATGATACATAATGAAGATTTAACATTGAATGGTAAGGAAAACATAATTATGAATGAAAAAATATATATTTTTCCCCCTTTTAAGAACTTGTTCTTATGATGGAACGTATATTTACTGGTAAAATCTCCAATTCTGATGAAATAACGATTAAATATGTAGATGATGATGGTGACAAAATTACTTTACTAAATGATAGTGATCTAACTGTTGCATTACATTTTCATAAATTTCTTCGTTTATTCATATTTGTTAATGGTGCTGAACAGACAAATGTTAATAAGAATGACGATTCAATTAATGCAAATATATTTCGTACTGAATTACAAGAAATTCGTAATTCAGTACAAATGATTCTTGATCGACTTCAAATGTCAACAAATGACGTGTCAAGTACAACAGCAACAGCTTCTTCATCACGTGAATTGGATTCACATAAACAAGGACAACAAACTTCGACTATGTCAGATAATAATCAAGTGCATTCAAATCATTTAGCTAATAATGAACATCAATCAGGTAGAAAAAAATAATTTTTCATATTAAAATAATTTTTTTTTATTCGAAATTAGTTAATACACAACATCTAGAATCAACAGATATAAATAAAATATCACAAACACAAATGCCACCAACATCACATTTTGTACCATCGGGATTTAATAATGAACAACAAACTAAAACAAATATATTTGGTCCTCCGCCAACAACATTTCCTGGTATGCCACCTTTACCAAACAATGCAATTCCTCAATTTCCTCCAACAACTAATACTGCACCATCACCTCATAATCAACCACCAACATTTACTAGTCAACAAGCACCAGGACCTCCTCCTTCTCTTCAACAAAGTGGTTTTTATAGTCAACAACAAGGTTTATATCAACAAAGACCATCACATCCAGGTTTTAATACAAATAATACATTTGCTTCCCAACAACCACCAGCAACAATCAATTCATCATTTATTCAACAACCATCATTACCACCAATGAATTCTCAACAACCACAAGTACCACCGATGAATTCTCAACAACAATACGGAGCTTATCCTCCACAAAATTCTTATTATAATCCTGGTCATCAACACTAAAGCATAATATTTTTTATTGTTTTTATTAATATACCATCTTTTTATTTTATTTTACTTTATTTTATTTGACATATAATCATCCGTTTGTTGTGAAGTGTTATAGTTACTTTTAAGCAATGAAAAATTTTGGTTCTGTTGTGTTTTTAGAATGAACAAAAATAAATACGAATGAGTAATATTTAACTGTGGTATCATTGATTAGATAAGCGACAATGAGCGTATAAATACGAGATATTTAATGATGGATGATATGATAAACGAAAAAAAAAAAACAAGTGGTTTTTTTCTTTATCAAGGTCAATATATCTCTTTATTTACGAGAGTTGTACGCAGATAAAGCTTGGTTCTGTCATGAATTTGTGGGTAGCGTACTACTCTTCGTTGTATTTCTCTTTTTTTCTTTCTTTCTTGCGTCCCTTTTCTCTTTTTTTCTCTTCCATTCTGCCGGGGTATGTTTAAGTGACGCACATTCACATACACACACACACCCTACTATTACGAACGAAATAAACGGGTCAAAGTACAACAATTCGTATACAATTTCCATCGTCGGAATTTTCCAATAAATCATATTATTTATAATAGTTGATAAAAAAAATGGCTGAGGCACATGAAGCCGTCGCATTTTCATTCACAGTCGGCCCAGAAGGTATACTTTAAGTTCGCTTTCTTCAATTTTTCATTGATGTATTTTTGTTTTGAATATAGGATTTAATGTTGATGTAAGTTATGATGTATTCAAAGCACTTATCTATTCTGGTGCACGTTCATGGAGACTTCGCTGTCGTCGTACATTAAATTCTTTATATAATTCATTATATCCTGGTCATCCACTTCGTGGTATTGCCTGTTGTGGTATTGTATCAGCTTTATATTTCAATGGTCATGATCCATCATTTAATATTATTGATTGGCTTAATTCACATGTATTTCAACGATATTTAGCACCTAAAAATGCAAAAATTGTTGCTTGTATTACATTTGGTGCTGGTGTATATATTGTTCTTATACAAGTACGACAATATACATTAAAGAAATTATTTTCATATCATGGTTGGATGTATCAAGAACATGGAAAACAAGTGAGTCTGATGCCAAAAATTTGGGCAGGCTTAGTTAGATTATGTGTTGGTCGTAATCCATCATTATATTCTTGTCAAAATCTTTTACCAACATTACCAGTACCAAATTTAGATGATACATTACAACGATATTTAAGATCAGTTCGACCATTATATGATGATGAAGAATATTCTCGTATGGAAAAACTTGCTGAAGAATTTAAACATACAATTGGACGTAGATTACAAAGATATTTATGGCTTAAATGGCTTATTTCATCGAATTATGTAAAGAATTAATTCAATAATATTACGCTAATATTATTTAAATATTTTTAGGTTTCGGATTGGTGGGAAAAATTTGTTTATTTACGTGGTCGATCACCAATTATGGTTAATAGTAATTTCTATGGTCTTGTATGTATTTAATTGATAAATTCAAATAATTATGAATTAGTTATGTTAAGGATGAAATTTGTATTCGTCCAACAACAATTCAAGCAGCACGAGCAGCCAATATAACATGTTCAGCATTTCGATATCGTTCAGAACTTGAAGTTCAAAATGTGAAACCTGTACGTTATTATTTAGAAGAATAGAAAATGAATTGTTTACATGTTTTTATTTTAGGTAATGGTACAAAAAGTAATACCATTATGTTCAAGTCAATATGAACGACAATTTAATACAGTACGCATACCTGGCAAAGATGCAGGTATAGAATTATTCTATTAATTATCAACAATATATATATTTCTTTTTCTTAGACAAAATTATTCATTATCCTGACAGTCATCATATAGCTGTTTATCATAAAGGTCGTTGGTATAAAGTATTTATGTATTATCAAAATAATTTACTTCAACCATGTGAACTTCAATTGTATATTAATTTGTTTGATTTGATTTGATTTATTTCGATTATTTATATTTTAGACAATTAGATGAAATTATTCGGGATACAACTCCACCAGCATATGGTGAAGAACATTTAGCTGCATTAACAGCTGGTGAACGAACACTATGGGCTGAAGCACGCGAAACATATTTTCGTAGTGGTGTTAATCGTTCTTCATTAGAAGCAATCGAAAAGGCAGCATTCATACTCGTTTTGGATGATGAAGAATTTGAAATAGGAACAGTAAGTTTATGAAAACTAATTCTTTTGTTGTTATTAATTTGATTTTTAAAAACAACAAAATTTTCATTGCTTCTTCAGCAAGAAAATCATTCCGCATCATTATTGTCTGAGAAAGGGGTAATTTATTTCTAACTTAATGTTGTCTCTATAACCCTATAATAAGTTTGCTAACATATGTATATCTAATCGTGGTATTTAATGTTTAACAAAGAAAATTTCTTTTTATTTCAAACAAAGAAACTATTAATATTATTAATATTTTAGTGTATGACAGGAAAATTTGATGAGTATGCACATGCAATTCTTCATGGTAAAGGTTATGATCGATGGTTTGATAAATCATTTAATTTTATTATTAGCAAAAATGCTGTTGTATGTATAAAAAAAATAATCAAATAATTCATTTATATAATTATGTTTTATTATTTAAGTTCGGTTTTAATGTTGAACATAGTTGGGTAAGATATTTAATGAAAATTTCAAAGTTTTATCTTATTTTTATTTAGGCTGATGCTCCTATTTCTGGTCATATGGTAGAATATGTACTTTCGGAAGATCTTTTGTATTATGGGTAAGTTTAAATAATAACTGTTATACATGAATGAAAGAAAATTTAATAATCTTAACAGATAAAAGAAAAAGTATTTACTATTGTTTATAGATCTTGTATTTTATTCGATGTCTAATTATCTTGATACTTGTCACTTCGATTTTTGATAAGTATATATGCTAAGGAAATTTTCATTAAATATAACGAATAGTTGTGATATAGTTATACATACTAAGGCTAGAGATCCTCTCAAAGTATCTTTTACATAACAAAAAAAAAAGTTGTCGACGATTTAGTCAATAATATTTACATATACCTTTTTTTTATACAATAAAGTAATTTAATGTTATAAATTTAGTTATGATGAACTTGGTAATACATGTGGTACACCACGTTTTACTGCACTTAAACCAGTTAAACTTAAATTCACTATTCCTGAAAGTGTACGTTTTTATTTTTTTATTTATTTTAATTTCTATTTTGTTAAATTATAGTGTAATGCTATGATTGAAAAAAGTCTTACTCAAGCAACAAAATTATATAATGATGTTGATCTTCATGTTTATGTTCAAGATGCTTATGGCAAAGGTTTTATGAAAAAATGTAAACTTTCACCTGATGCTTATATTCAAATGGCACTTCAATTAGCTCATTATCGCGTATGTATTTATAAGATATATATACATATAAAATGCCTTTTGATCATCTTTTGTAATAATATTTCTAGGATTCAGGTCATTTTAATTTAACATATGAAGCATCAATGACACGTCTCTTTCGTGATGGTCGTACAGAAACTGTGCGTTCATGTTCAATTGAATCAAGTCTATGGGTTAAAGCTATGGAAGATCCAGCAGTTACTGTAAGAAAATATTACAAAAAAAACAAATCAACTGATGAAAATTTATCTTATTAATTATAGAAAGCCGAACGAATAAAATTACTTCGTATTGCTTGTGATTATCATCAACAACAATATCGTGATGCAATGACTGGCAAAGGAATTGATCGACATTTATTTTGTTTATATGTAATATCAAAATTTCTTGGTCTTGATTCACCATTTCTTCAACAAGTTCTTCAAGAACCTTGGAAATTATCTACTAGTCAGGTAAGTTGAAACTCTTCATATTTATAAATAAACAAAAGACAAAGACGTTTTCTTATCAAATTAATAAATCTATGTAAGACGCCAACACTTTATGATGATAAGCGTCTAGCAAAACTCGTTGCTGAAAAACCAGAAGTGGCAGAAAAGATCGGATGGTCTCAATTCAAAGGTGTTGTAGGAGCCGGCGGCGGTTTTGGACCTGTGAGAAGAATAAATGTTTTCAAACTAATAACTGCCTTGTTTTCTAACTGCATTGTTGTTGCATGCTTGCACTTAACTTTTCTTCTCATATCTAATAGACAGCTGTTTCCTATGAAGAACGATATACTGACCATAAACTATATAACAAAGGAACTAAGATTGGTGGCGGCTTTGGTACTGTGAGTTATTTTGTTTTAGCGAAAAATTTCTTGGGGAAAATGCTGCTGAGTATATTAGATTAAATAGAAACATATAGATCGAAAATATAATAATCAAAGGGGAAACAGCTAACTCCAGTTTCTTGAAATTTCATCAAAGATCTTGAGAAGTCTATTACAGCAATTTAATATAACTGCATAGCTAAATAAACTATTATAGTTGTTAGCGAAGATGGGGTGTGGATTAATGTTGATGATATACTAACCTGTGATCCACACTTCCAAATATTTTATTAATGGCATAATATCGTTTCTTTGCTTTTAATAGTCAATCGGAAAAAGCAGTATATTAATATAATAGCAAGAACTTCATACATGCATCGAGTCTCAAAGTCTGCTGTTTCCCCTTTGATAATGCTTCTTCATTTTCAAGATACTTGTGGTAGTGTGCTCATGCTTGATTTTATTTTGATTATTTTTGTATACTTTAATGATAAGAGATTGTCAAAGATATGCTAGATAAATAGAGTGTAGCTGCTAGAGTAAACAATCAAAATCTATGACATCATTTCCTAACTTTTCACCATATTTTCTTGCATGGCTTTGCTTTCTATTATTTGCTATACTAATAATTTTATTATATATGTCAATCTATATCCATTGATTAACATATATAACTAACTATTTATAATCTTTTGCTTATATATGTTTTTGCATGCTATTGTTTTTGCTTTCATTGCTAGCTATGTTTTATATTTCATAAAAAAATCTCTTTTCATGGTGTAAATATTTTATTTTTATAGGTAGCCGCTGATGGTTATGGTGTTAGTTATATAATTACTTCGGAAGATCTTATCTTCTTTCATATTTCATCTACTAAATCATCACCTGAAACAGTAAGAATTGATAGTTTCTTTTTTTTAATTTAATAATATATTTTCTTTAATTCAAGGACTCAAGACGATTTGGTCAACGTATTTATCAAGCTATGCAAGATATGCGCGATTTATTTGATGGGCAATCAACTAGTACTCATACTAGCAAAAAATGAGAAAAAGAACTTTTGAATTATAAGATTAACAAGTTATATGTATATCTATCAACATAATTTAGTACTTTAGTCTCTTATTAAATGATTTTAATTCGTGTTCTGACACATTTCCAAAAGAATATCTATTTCATTTTTTTTTTGAAAAATTTATGCTTAGCGGTTTTTTTTCTTTGTATTGAAATATGTGTTATGTCATAGAGAAGAACTAAATAATATAAAAATCATAACATTTAGAAGAAATCTTCTGCTTGTTTATCAATCAAATCACGGATTATGAAATTATTTCGATTTTTAATTATAATTTCGATGTCAATTGTTTATCTTGATTATTAATTCCGTTAAGTAATGAAGAAAAACGACGAGCTGCATCAATTGCAGTACCCCATGAAAGTGAAATACCATTTCCACCATGACCATAATTATGAACGATCTAAAATTATTTTCAAAGAAAAACTAAAAAAACGAGCAAGATTATTTTTCTTTACTAAAAGTTGTTTATTTCCATATTTAATCGTTTCAGTTTCAACACGAATTGGTTCTCGATTTGGTCGTAATCCAGCCTAGAAAAAACCCAACAAGAAATTTCTTACATGAAAAAATTTTGTATATTTTATTACTTACCCAATCCCAAAGAATTTCAGCTTGCTAATAAAATTAAAGAAGATAAAAATTATTTGCTATTTTAATTCAATTTACCGCTAAACTTGGACATAATCGAAGACATCGTTGCCAAATACCATCTTTATCATTCAAATCAACTGTTGTATTTTCATCATCTAATTGACGAGTACCACCAAGTACTATTGTATCAGTACTAGAAATTAAAATAAATAAAAACTTTTTAGTTCTATAATTCATTACTTTGGTATCATATAACAATTATCATCTGTATAATAAAAATGTTTAATCCATGGTGCTCGAACACGAATCATTTGACCACGTATTGGTCGTATTAAATTATCATGACATACGTCTTTAGCTCCATAACCAATACAATTAACAACAATATCATAATTTTCAACTAACTATATTCAAAAAAAATAAATTATTCAAATCAAATAGAAATAAATCGATAAACAAACTTCTTCGAATGAATGAATTTTCTTTTTAATAAATGGTACTTGTTTTTCATTTAATCTAAAGATTATTCTTATTTATTTATTATTTCTATTTAATAACTTACAATTTAGTTAAATATTTCATATATTTTCGTGTTTCAACATAAAAGGTTGTACAAAAATAACCATATCTGAAAAAATATTAACTCTATCATTTAATTTCTTTTGAAAAAAACAATATATATAAATTTTCACTTGTAATGATCAGGAAATATAGTTAATTCTTCTTTTGTTAGATAACGAAAATTATATACAATATCTTTATAGGATGGATCAGGTCGTGAATCATTAAATAGTTGATAACCTGATACTTGAGACACACCAGCTTCAGCAGCAATATTTGAAAAAATCAAATTATTGAAATGATCGAATGATGTTTGACACCAATCTCTTGAATAGATTATATATTTATATATATAAATAATCAAATTCTTAATCATACTTTAAAACTGATGGTTCAACACCACCAATAAATCGTTGATCAGGTCGAAAAAGTCCACCAGCACCATCACTAGTCGTTGCATCAAGAAATCGATTAGCAATAATTGTTACAGATAATGAAGGATGTTGTGATTTTATACATAAAGCAGTGGATAAACCAACAACTCCAGCTCCAACGACAGCTACACGTATCATGTTGATAAAAGAGCTCGAACTTATAAAAAAATTTCTTTTTATCAAGTACACAAACAATATATAGTTCGGTCGTTTGCTATCTTTTCTACGTAGAATAAAATAATCATTGGATGTTATAGCTTGACAGAAGAAAAAGAAAAAAAAACACCGAACATGCGTCCCTATTGTGTGTTGTTTTTCTTCTATTCACATGGCGAGTTTCTCTGCATTACTATCACTGCATGTGACTACACATTTTTCAGAAAAATAAAATAAACCTAAAGTACATGACATCTTCCATTCACTAAAATTCAACATAATCTGATACATCGTTCTTTTAGTTTCATAGAGGAGATTGTTGATTGTGAGTATACAAATAATTTTTGTAAATATTATCAAGTGTGAAGAATATAATTTATAGAAGACTATGTCTGTTTATTTAATTAAAATGAATATTTCTGTAAAAACGCAATACACTCATTTGCAATTTATTTAAAAACAAAAATAAGAAAGAAAAAAGTAGATTTTTAACATGTTCTTAATTGTTGTAATTTTTCAATTGATTCCTTCCAATGTGATCGATATCGATCAAGATCAGTTAATATTGTTGAGCAACGATTTTCAATATCGGATAATGTTTGAATATATACTTTTTTATAATGCTATAATAAAATCAAATAGATGATTTGAAAACTTCAGACAGAGAAGAAAAAAGATAAGTTCATACTTGATAAGCTTGATTACGTTGTGCTACTGTTTCCATTTGAGGTAATGTTGTCTTTTGTGTAACAACAGAAGCTGATGTTTTTTGTCGTTGACTTGCAGCTGTTGAACGTTTCTTTGTTGTTATTGCTGGACGAAGTATCTGTTCATCAAGTAACGGTAAACCTATACGAAAATTTGATAGAATTAATAAATAGTTAACACGTAATATACCTGGCCAATGCCCTTGTTTTCGTTCAAGTATAGGTTTTGGATCTCTATTTTCCAAAGGTCGTCCTGATTGTTGACGTCGTACTAATTCCGAAAGAGGTTGTTTTACTTCAGGTATTTCTAAAATATTAAAAATTTATGCTTTCTTCTATAAACCAATAATAATAATCTATTCATACTTGTTTTTATAATTTCATCAGCTGTTAAAATATCATCAAAAAGAATTAATAAATGTTCAGCATTTGTTGCTAAAGCTTGAACTGTTGTTTGTGCATCTGTTTTAATACTTTTCTATAAAGACAAAAAAAATAAATAAAAGTAATTAATAAAATTTTATTTTACAATTGTTGTTAAACGAAGTTCAGTAACAAGTTGTTGAAGTTCATTTTGACGTATTTTTTCTCGATTATCAATTTCAAGTAAATCATTTTTGCGTGCTGGATGACCAAGTGTCGGACGAAGTTGATCATAGTTTTTTGATTTTTCTGTAGTACTGTCATCAAATTTTCCATTGAGTATTGTATCAAATTGTTGTTTAAGTTCATTTAAAACTTTCTCGGCTTGTTGAGTTCGTTCATTAAGTTCAGCTTTTGCTAATAATGATGATGTACGTTCAAATAATTCAAGCATATCACGAAATTCTAAAAAGAGAACAAAAAAAATTTATTTTATTATAATATAAAAATTTAAACGAACCATTAATAGAATGTTCATAATACGAACGACATTGTTCTTCATAACTTTTTAACTTTTCAATCATTGTATTAGCATAATCATCAAATTTTTCACGTAATGCTTGAGGACGAGTAACAGGACGTGAACCTTTTTCTCGATAGTATAACTACAAAAAAAAATATAATTTGCAATGTATTTTCTCTTTATTTATATATTTACTTCAGCATGAGTAAGTAAACCTTCATTTGATTCACGTAGAACATTCAATATTCTCGATATAAAATCTTGATCAGAATGTTTCTTTTCACCAAAAATACAATAAAGTGCATAGATTTCATCACGTGTTTTTGCTCGACCTTGTGGATTACGTCTAGTAGTTGATGATGCAACTGATCCATCAACTGATGGTCTAAAAGACAAATCAAGAATTTTCTTAAATTTATTTCTAAACAAAAAAATAAGTTAGAAATAATAACCTTTTCTTGTTCTTGAATTTTGCATTCGAAAATTTTACTTGTGATGATCGTGATGATGAACGAGAGGCTAATGAACGTGAATTTGACGCTAAAATAACATAGATAAAACTTTTTATATTGTTCTCTTTCTCGTAGAGAAGAGTTCAATGAATACAAATTGTCCGATTGCTTGATTCCTTGTGTATCCGCAGGGTCAAAAAAACATCGAAACGGTTTTTTTTTTAGAAAAGTCATTTGTAGAGGTATTTCGATGCGGGAAAGTCAGATGTGCCCCTTATATACTCAGACTACTGAAGGAGGGTACAGTAGGAATTGGAAAAACTGACGTGGACCGATAGAAACCGAGTTTCTTTTCGTGCGTATAAGGTTACTAACACTTCACTTATTCATTAAAGGTTAGTTCGACAAGCCACGGATGCCGACGGCTCAAATATGTTTTGATCTGCGTTTACCATTGACTAGGATTCGAGTACATGCTAAGAGTCAGGAATCACAAAGAAGAGCGAGGTTTTCAGTTGTTTTTCCAGTAAGTATGAAGAGGATGTATTTCTACGAGAAAGATAAGCGAGTCATCGGACGAGCGTTACTTGTTTTTTAATGTGAATATCTCTTCAATATTTTTTAACTTTTATTATAACCCTATACAATTTATAGTATCAGTCTTAGATTGACTTCGAATAGATGTAAATTTGGAGATTTTAGTATAATACATACCTAAAGTATTCGACATATCTGCTTCAACAATTTCATCAGATTCTTGATGTTCACTTTTACTATTAACAAAAAAACACAATACTCTTATACTTTTCATTTTAATAAATAAATCTTACTGAAGAAGAGTTCGTATAGTTGAAATTGTATTCATTTCTTCTGGGTGTCCATTAGTTAAACCAGTTCCAGTATTTGTAACTGATTTATTTCGAGATAAAGTTGTTCGTGTTGGTGCAGCAAATTTAACTGATTTAACTTCATCAACACTATTTCGAGCAGCTATATTGATTTTTGATGGTCTTCGTGATGTATTCATTTCGTCTGTATTTGTACCACTATGTAAATCATTTGCTAATTTTTCTAAAATTAATCATTACAAAATTTATAAGAATAAGAAAATTAATTGTTGAATACCTTCTGTAATTAATCCTTTATTTTTAAGAATTGAAACAATTGAAGCTGGTATAATTAATTCATTATTTAAACATTTTAAATATAGAGCTCGCTCATAATTCATTAATAATATTTGTTGAAAAATATCACGAATTTCATTTAATGTTGTTTTCTAATAAATATGAAAAAACGAATATATTTTTTATTTAGTTATAAAATTCTTTTTACTTGTTTATCAATATTAGGATTTAAAAATGAATCTATTTGGTTTTGATATGATTGAATAAGTTTTTTTAATGTTTGTGCTTGCTGATTATTTGCACCAACTTCAGCTTTAATTTTAACTTGTGTATCACTAATCCAACGATTTGCAAGTTCAATAAATTGTAAATCTGTCATATGATTTTTAAAACTAAAAAATAGATTTCAGATCAATACGCAATTTTTGTTTCTTTCAAAAAAAATATTTTACCGTTCTTGAAATAGACTAATTATTTTTGTTGCTTCTTCTAATTGTTTTTTTTCTAATTTTTCCATTTCTTTTAATATAGCAGTTTCAGCTTTATCTATTTGACCAGCAGTTTTTTCAAGTTTTCGTCGATAAACTTCAATTTCTTCTCGACTATAATTTCCACCTTCAGAAAATATTCTAAAAATTAAAATATGAACAAATTTCGATTTTATTTTTGCTAAAAAAAATATTACATAAATGATTCACGAAAACTAGCATTTGCATGACGTAAACATTGCATAGCTTCATCAAATTGTTGGCGAAAATTACGTAAAGATATTCGAACATTTTCCATAAATGTATCACGCTTTTTTGCTAAACGTTCTTGTAATGCTACAAGACGAGTTGTTGTTGTTGCATTTACAAAGAGTTGTTCAAGAGTATGTATATCATCTTTATATGTATTTATAGATTTTGAAAAATCATTTAACATTAAACGATAATTGGTATCAGTTTGTTCTAATGTTTCATCTACACCACGAATATGACGTTCGATTCGTTCATCATGTGTTGAAAGTTCATCTTATAAATTTAAAAGAAAAGAAAAACATTTTACTGTATAATTCAGATTCAGAACTAGACGCTAGATCTTCCGTGATTTATTTCTTTAGGAATTTTTACAATTTCCGCTTACATCCTATCATGGAATGGAATAAATTAGATTTAGGAAAGACATCTATGTAAAACTATGAGTGGGAAGATCGTTAAAGCGTAAGTAAAATCGATGAATTTTTCAAAAGAATAAATCGTGCTATCTCTTGAGGGTGAGGGTGGGTGTCGACTTTTCTACTTCTCACATGCACTAGCAGTACTATTTAAAACAAATGGAACAACTTGAACAAAATCAACTTTTAGTTTTAGTTAATGGCGCTGGTACTGGATCAATTTCATCCACTGATCCAGTACCAACACCACCTATATCACTTAATTCGTCATCTCCAAATGCATTGTGAACTACCATCACAGATCAATTGAAGTAGATTAACGAACAAATGGTAGACACGAATAAGCAAATGCATGAGCAGATGACAAAAATGAATCAAAAATTGATAGACATCCACAATAGGATGTCTTATTTCGTCGTATGTATAATATAGTATTACATGCAAAAATAAATTATCTATTGTTTTAGGTCGTTTCATCATTGGTAGTGATCTCATCAGTCTTCATTATGATCACAAAAAAACATAAGCAATTTTTTTATTGTATTTGCCTCATCCTACTGTTGTAATGTTCCTCCTGGATGCTAAATACAATAGTAAACGTCTGAAAACGGTGCATTTCAGATGGTCTGAATGATCGATCTTGAGGGTGGGTGTGGGTGTCGACTTTCCTAGTTCTCACACCCGCACTCTTAATTTTATTGAATTTTGGGTGTATCCCACCCTAGCAGTACTATTTAAAACAAATGGAACAACTTGAACAAACAAATGATGGACACAAATAACACATGGCAAGAACAGATCAAAGAAACGAACCAATAATTAATAGACATTTATAACATGATGTCTTATTTTCTCGCATGTATAATATAGTATAAAATTACAAAATAATTTATCTATTGTTTTAGGTGGTTTCATCATTATATGTTATTTCGTCCGTAGCTTTTAAATTTTTCAAAAAATAAAACTTTTTTCTTTCTTATGGGTTTGTCTTTGCTCCTTGTATTTTTTATTGTTTTTCTGCCGATTATTTACAGTATGAGTTAACTTAATAAATCGTGCTATCCTTCCATTGAATTACCTGCTCTAACATGATGAACATCATTTTCAATACGTATTCGTCTTGGTTCATGTAAATGCATTTGAAAATCCATTTCTTTATCAAGTTCATCATGTTTTGTAAAAATAACTGCATCAGCTCTTCGTATTGTTTCTTCTTTCCATTGATCATAATAATCAAGAAATGCTCGACATAAACTAATATAGAACAAAAGAATAAGATTTTCTTTCTTTTCAAAAAAATAAATAAATTTATATACTTAAACATTATTGATTGAACAAGATTTGATGGCATTTGAAATGATTTAGTACATGGTATTATATCTGTTAATGATGAATCTTCAGTAAGAAATGTTTGTACTTGTGGTTGATCATTAGATATATTATTACCATGTTCTTCATTATGAGCATTTATATTTTCTGTTAAATGAGATTCATTATTATTATTTATTTCTTCAATTTTATATGTTGTTCGTGCTATTGATGTTGTATATAGTTGAGGATTTGTATCTGGTAATGAAAGACTTTCATCATCGTTTGTATTAATTTCTTTAGCATGAAAATAATCCAGCATTTCATTTTTATATCTATTAACTTCTTCTGTTACCATATCAGAATATTTATTTACAATTTCATGTTCCATTTTATAAAATTGTGTAAAACTAAAGATTCAAAATAATAGAATTATGTAATAAAAAAAAATGTTTCTTATACTTTGCTTGAATTGTATCAAGTTGATCATAAGCAGATTTTAAAAGACGATTTAATATTGATTCATTTGATGCACTACGCATTTCATCCAAAGTTGAATCAAGTTTAGTTAATTTTTTCTAGAAGATATTTTATCGATATTTAATACGAATTTTTTGTATTTTGCTTAAATTTACTTCATTTTGAAGATCATGTGGTCGACGAGATTCACTCATTAAATCAGCTAACTGTTCGGTGACACGTTCAAGTTGACTTTGATGATTATCCCATTGACAAGATGCTGGTTGAATAAAAGCTAATAGCTGATCGAGAATGTTATACATAGAATTTGTTAATTGTTCATATACAATCTATAAAAACAATTCAGTTACATTATAATAGGAAATTAATAATATAGATATCATACTTTAGCTTGATCGATGACAGATTCTTGTAAAAATTGTTTTCGTTCTTCTAACAATGGTTCAATATCTCGTTCATATACCATTTCAATTTGTTCATTGTTATAGACTTGAGTTTGAATTACTTTGTCCTATGATATACAAGTATTTTATTACAAATTTCAAACCAAAAAAAAGGGGTTTTACTCCTATTATTTTCCATTCTTCTTCTAAATAATTAATTTCATTTTTTATTATCTGTATTATTTGATTAATAAGTATTTTTCGTTCATTAATAATACCATCCATAATATCATAACCTTGTTTATGCCATTTTTGAGCATTTTCTTTTGTTGATTTAGGTGGAATAAATGTACTATTTATATAAAAAAGAACTTATTTTTATAGAATTATAGAAATCTTTTACTTTAATTTATTAATATGTTCGATAAGGCGACGTGTTTTTTCAGCTATATTTGAGCCAATTGGTTCACAAGTGGTTTGTATGGCTGCATCTAATCTTACTTTACATTTAGATAATCTTGCACTAAAAATACAAATATTATCATATAGTAGAAAGTCCTTATTAGATTTATCTTTACATCCAAGTTTGTTTGAGAATAATCCACATATTCTCTCTCCATTTATTTTGATAATCAACAAGTTCTTCTCGATAGTGATGAATTCGATCAGTTTCACCTGATAATAATCTTGCTTCAAGTTCAGTATATATTTTACGATTTTCAATTATTTGTGAATTTAATTTCTATAACAAAAACAAAAATCATTTTTCTTTTTTTTTTTAATATTTACATTTGCTTGTTTTTCCAGTTGACTAGCTGTATCTTCATCTGATAAATGATGTGTTCTATAAAGACGATCAGAGTAATGTTTAAATAAATCACGAAACTATGAAATAAATTAAATATTTTTCATAATAAAATTATTAATGAACAAACTTTATTAGTTCGTTCCATTTCAAGTTCTTCAATTGATTGACAATATTCTTGAATTTTTGAATGACGTGATGGAAGTAATTTCTCAAGATATTGAAATTCATCATCAAACAATTGGAATGATAAAGTCGTGATTTCCTAAATAAATAAAATGATTTAATTGATTTCTGTATGTTATGATCTATAACATACTTTTTGATAGATCATTGTTTGTAATTCTTTATCAATATCTAGAAGAAAACATTCAAAAAAAATTTGAATATTAAATTATATACCTTTATTTCCTTGTTCATAATACATATTACATTCTCGAGTTATTCCTTCTAATTCTTTTAATAAATTCTGTAAAGAAAAGAAGATTTAACATTTGACTTCTTATTAAAATTTAATACTTGATTTAATTCAGCAATTTTCTCTAAAAATTCATCCCATAATTGTTTGAATTTAATTTGTCGTTTAGCTTCTAATCTTCCAGTAACATTTACTTTACTATTTACATCATTTTCAGTTTGTCCTATTTAAATAAAAAAACATCCTTTTATCTTTATAAGATAAAGATATATGTAAAAACAAACTAACCATGTCCATTCATATTATCAGGTAAATTAAAAACTTCTTGTTTAATTGTCTCAAGTTCTTGTTCTTCTTCAGTTTGACGTCGTTTTTGTTCATCTTGAAAACTAAATTTGAAATAAAAGTAAATTTTCTAATAAATTATCAATCTTACAATATTGCTACTGGATTAATAGAAGAATCATTATTGTATGGTAAACTTGAAATCCATTGCCGTTTTTGAGATTCTAAAATAAATCTTTATATACTGTTTGATTCGTTTCATATGCTTATATATGTAACAACAAGTCTATTCAATACTTTTAATAAAAGCTATAGGAGAATTTTATATCATTTATAGATTAATCTAAGCTCATTGTTGGTAATTAACATTAGTATCGATTTAAATGTCTCTGAAAATGATAATATTAAATGCAAAATAATTACCATGTGGTCTAATATTTCGTACCAATGGTGTTGCATCAGGATGTGTTACAATATTAATAGGTTCAGAAAGTTGATTATCTCGTACGCGATTATAAGCGTCACTTAATTGTACCTATTGAAATTGAATTTCTTTAATAGATATCTTAGATTATTTTCGAAATTTATACTTGTGCATCAAATAACTGTCGATAGACTTTATTTGTAGGTAAAATCCGAACAGAATTTGCAGCTGATGATGCCCTCATTTTTAACATATAATCTATCTATTCAGAAGATGCGTCCTTGTTTTTAACCATTGAAATAGTTTTATATTATGTTTCTATGCAACGAACTCTATTCGTATAGATTTTTTTGTTGTTAGAGGCTATATTAATCATAGTAATGGCTACTATGGACCGATAGTATTTCATCGTTCTTTTTTCTTCTTCTGTTTCTTCCTTTTTCTTTCTTTCGCAAGGATCAATGTTCGTTCTTTACATTTATATAATGTGTATGTGTCTTTGTTATATATATATAAAGGCATTATCGGCAGCTATCTTTGATAGACAATCCATTGTACTACGTGTAACGATAAAGATCTTGTGACTGAAATTTTTTATTTAGATAGTAGTTTTCATTCATATTCATTTTCTTTTTGTTTTTCTATTTTTGATTCCCCTATCCCCGGTGATTCATCGGTCGTGTTTAAAAATGGAAATTGATTTTGCTCCCTTACATAATCCAACATTATTTGGTTCATTATCTGTCTCACCACCAGCATCAATGTTCGATTCATTATCACCATTATTACAATTAAATGATGATTTTCTTGATATATTAAATCCAACAAATGATAGTATTGATGATGATGATCTTGAAGATTGGATGAAACCATTATTATTTGATCAATTATTTGAACATGAATTACAACAAAATCTTTTTAATTTAAATGATATTGATATAAAACAAGAAGATGAAAAAACAAAATTTAATAATTATTCAGTTATTTTATCAGATAAATTAAATAATTATTCTCAATCGCAGCAAATCAATCGAGAGAATGAATTTCTTGATTTTTTTTCTCATAAAACTTCTGAACAACAATTACCATCAACAACAACGACAACAGTTCGTTTAATACATCAACCTAAAATTGAACCATCTGAAATGCCAACAACATTATATGTTAGTGGTAATGAATATCAATTTCATCCAATTGTTACAACAAATAATAATAGTAATAATAATAATGGAAAAACAATCGGTCATACTTATACAAGTAAATTTAAAAAAAACCTCATAGTTATAGAACTTTTGAGATTGTATATTCAATCTTCTATCATATGAATTATTTTATTTTATGTTTTCTATTTACAGCAACAACATCATCACCAATCCCGTCAGTACCAATCGTACCAGCACGAGTATTAAAAGGAAAAAAATTCAAACGTGGTGGTCGAGTTACTTCTCGAGCGTAAGAATTCATTTTTACTATCGAATAATTTCATTTTTTTTCTTTATTTCTTTCATTTCTAGGACGTCAAGAAACAGTGCAGCTTCTAAACGACGATTAAATTCGACAGCAGCAGGTAAATAAATCCTTAGAACTTAAATATACAAAATTCAGATTTCTTTTTGTTTTTAGAACCTAAAGCCAGTGTTGTTATAATTGCTGAAGATGCTACTCGAATTGATTCTAAGACAACTACATTAGGATTAAGTTCAACTAGTAATAGTGATACAGATCTATTAAAATCTTCTCCAACAACTTCAACACGTTCATCAACACGTCGTCGTGTTAAATCATCACCACGTGAAGTGATTCTATTTCGTAATGGTACATTTGTATCCAAAGAACCTATCTCAAAACAACAACAAACATCAACAACATTATGTTTTGAAACTACAACAACATCAAATAATAATTGTCCACCACAACCTCCACCATTACATCAACAACAAATAACAGCAACTGGTTTACAAGCTGCTGCACAAATTGTTGCTTGTAATGTTCTCCGACAAGCAACATTAAACGGTAAAATCATCCAGATAGATATTTATATACCTATTGAAACGATTTCAGATGCTTTGATCGAACAATTGATTAAACGTGAACCATCAAATGCAGATGATGATATTCCAATATATTGTTATTCAAGTCCATCATTATCCTCATCATCCTGTACAATGACAACAGCACTGGATGAATATGAAAATAGTTGTTCAACAACCTTGAAAATTCTTGGTTGCAATACAACAGCACCAATGCCACCAACAAATACAACTACAACAACAACAATTGAATTACTTACATTTGCTGCTTTACAACAGCAGCAACACCAATATCATCAACAACAACAATTTTGTTATATTAAACAAGAACCAATAACAACTACAACAACAACAACTACGTTTCTACTACCACGTTTACTTCCACAGTGAATGTATCTATGTGTGTGTAGTTCGATTTCAATTTTTTGTGATAATCAAACAACAGAACAGTAGCTACAGATAACGACGGTATATAGGAAAAAGAAAAAGTGATTTTCTTTTTTTTTGTTTCATTGTTTGTTTATTTGTTTGTTTCGTCTTTTTTCAGTTTCTTTTTTTTTGTTTATTTGTTATTTCAGCACACCGACACACGTGTGTGTGTGTTTTGTTTGACTGAAAATCATCTTTACTGTTATAACTGTATTACTGTGGCCATCTGTTTTTAATTTGGCTATTATAGTTGTTGTTGTTGTTAAAAACGAGAAAAAAAAATATTACATTAACAATCAAGTTTAATTTTTCTTCTTTTACTTTCTATACATTGAGAGATAGTTAAGTTCGAATTATCACATTGTATGTAAGATTCTTTAGAGTATGAAAAATATTAAATGTAACTCTTAACTAACACAAAATACGAGCATCGATCTATATATTGAGTCAGATAGTAAAAATTTAGTTTTTATTTACAAAGCGCAACATAGAAATCTATAAACGGTTTTATAATTTAGTTTTATAACGCATTTTAACAAATTTAAACAATTATCGACAATAATCATCTGATTTTGTTTCTGATATTGTAGATATAAATTTCATGATTTAATATTTTCATTTATCTTTGGTCTATACACTAAAATGAATCAAATATCTATTTTTACTCATCTTCTGCAATACTAGTTTATTTAATGAATATTCCTATTTTTTACATTATTCACATTTCAAATGGAAAGCCAACAACTCTTATATTTAGTAGACAAAGTGAAGGTATATTTTATTGTAAATATAATGAGTATTCAACAACTAGAGAATAACTAACACAAATTCATTGATAGGATGAGTCTACTAAACTTTTCTTTTTGGTTTAGGAAAAGTTTCACATATCAAACGATTTCTATATATGAAAATCTTTTGTCTTCGTAATCAACAGGTCGTTTAGAGAATAACGAATCATTCTAATGCATAACATTTCTGATACAAGTTTAAGCTTCTTAAGTCAGACTAAACCGAGTATACAATTCAATTATACAGTTCATTTTTGTTCATTATAATTTTTTCATTCAACGAAGTATTAAGTTCAGAATGATTTCAAATAGAATTTTGAAAAGAAAATACTAGTGAAGTTATTTTACTCGATGTTGATATTCATAGATAATGATGCAATTCTTTTTTCACAACTTATTACTATTCTGACAAAAGAAACCTTGACACATCTTTTTAATAATTAAAAGCTCACTTTTGAGAGTGAGTAGTGTTTTTCTGAGAGTCCTTGAAATAAATCATATCTAAAAACAAGTTATTATAAACTATTCAGTCATAAAATCTATACCTCTTGCATGAATATAATACTAGTAAGTATATACTTCTTCAGAAATCGAGAAAGGTAAAAATCTAACATTTTTACATTATTATCAAAGCCTTAAATAAAGAAAGACCTTCAATATTTTGTCAGTTATTCTCCAGATTACGCTAAGATGACAGCTATTGAAATATAAAACACTTTAGTCATTATTATATTCAATGCGAAGGACATCGTCACTCTTCACTTGTTCACTTTTTACAAAGGAAAAATATTGACTTTTTACTCATCTATTTGATGAAGTTTTGAATTCGATATCAATACAAATATAATGATGAAACTTTTTTCTTTTAGATTCTAATATATTTTACGTTTTTTTTTGATTATTACATTGACTACCGTATTAAATTATCTTATGAATAATCATCACCATTCATCAATTGATAATGATAGTGACGATGATGATGACATAGGTATAAACAAAAAAAGAAAAAGAAGGGGAAATGATTCGTAAAAATTGTTTATTTATTGAACAGGTGCTTCAAATATTTTGGATAAAATTTATTCAATTATTATATTTATTTGTAATTATCTATGGACTATAACCTTTGTTCTTCTTATTTTTATAATCTATGCAACTATTCGTGGTCCATTCAATGTCATGAATAGTTTTAATGCTGGTAAACATTTAAAACGGAACTGTTTTCTTTTTTTTTATTTAATTTACTAATGCTTTTTCTTTTTCTTTAAACAAGTAATGATAAATAACTATAGAAAAAGGTTGAAAGAATATTAAAAATAACTTTTTTCTTTTGAGAAATAAATAGAATAGTCAATGAATCATCATCATCATCTATATATATAGAGAAAGAGAGAGAGAGAGACAGAGACAAATATAGCTATACTCTTTTTGCTTCTTCTTTTCATCCTTTCTAATGTTGATAATGTGACCGTTTCTGGTCACATTTATGATGACAGACATCTGTGTGATTGAACAGTTGTGATGTCTATATATATATATATATCTGTATGTTTTTTTCTTCTTACGATGAACTTGCCGCGATAAAATGAGAAAAGAAGAACGAGCAAGACAAAAAAAAAGAAGAGAAATCCAATGAAGTATTAGAAAGAACTAAATTTCTTTTTCTTTCCTTTCCCGGCTGTTTTCCCATTTACGGAGAAATGGAAGAAAGAAGAAAAAAAAGAATATGTCTTTTTCTTTTCTCATTCTCGTTCTGTCTGTCTATCTTTTTCTAGATATATAAATATATATCTGCGTTGCTGCTGCTACTGCTGTTGCTCTACGCTCTCATGTATCTATAATATTACACGGCACCATCATAGACATACACGCACATCTTCCTTCTCCTCCTTTTCATTCTCTCGGGTGGCTTTTCACTATTGTGTGATTATTTACAGCAAACATGCTAAACGTCATATTTTGTAAGTTTTTCTTTATTTTTTTTTTTCATTGTTGTATGATCATGTTCGTTATTTATCTTCGTTTGAGGCTATTTTTTCTATGTATAATTTATATCTCTATTGATTAAAAAAAATATTTCCTTTTTTTCCTTCTAGCAACAATGTTTTTCAATACGTTAACACCAAAATTTTATGTTGCTCTTACTGGTACTTCATCGTTAATCTCCGGTCTTATTTTAGTAAGAAATCTAACGAAAGTTTTCTTTTTATTATATTAAGAAAAATTTATTTTCTTAGATATTTGAATGGTGGTATTTTAAAAGATATGGTACATCATTTATTGAACAAGTTTCTATAAATCATTTAACACCAATTTTAAATGGCAATGATTCAACTAATTCTTCAATTACAAATAATGATTCATCATTACAAGCATCACCATTAACGAATGGTTGTAATAATGGAAATAATTCAAATGGAAATAGTTCTTTGCCGAATGGTATTGATTCAACAGCACCGGTGACTGGTACAAATGAATGTAAAGTTTGGAAAAATCCTTGTGCATTATTTCGTGGAGCTGAATATCAACGTTTAACACAATATAATGGTAAAGAACCATTAACATTTCACGATATGAATTTATCTGCTCAAGAACATCAAACATTTTTTTCTTGTGAACTTGATGAAGGAAAGCCTGAATATGAAAGTAAGAATTACAATCTTTCTTTCTTTTTTCTTTTCTATTATGAAAACATTTTAATATTCTATTTTGTCTTTCCTAGTGATGCAACGCGCATGGCGTGAACGAGCACCATCAACGCGTATTCAATTAGCTCATGATGCATTAGAAAAAAATTTTGAGTAAGAAAAATAAAACAAGAAACTTTTCACATAGTTAATTATTTTACTTAAATTAGATGTACACCAGCATTAATACTTCTTGCTGAAGAAGAAGCAACAACAATAATTGAAGTTGAACGTATATTAAAACAAGCATTAAAATGTGCTGAAAATGCATATAGAAAATCACAACAGTTACTTGAACAAGGTCATAATCAAGATATTGTACATAGTAAGAAATATCTGCTTAATATATCATATATATATTTATTCATTTTTATTAGAACGAAATACAAATATATTAATTTATGTTAAACGACGGTTAGGAATGTGTGCAAGAAAATTGGGTAAATTACGTGAAGCAACAAAAATTTTTCGTGATCTAGTAAAAGAATTTCCAATGATGTCGGTTTTTAATATACATGAAAATCTTATTGAAGTATTACTTGCACTTCAAAATTATCCAGATGTACAGGGCGTACTTGCCAAATATGATGGTTAGAATTTTATATTATTTCATTCATTTAAAATTCTTCTCTTTTTCTTCCTTTTAGATATTAGTTTGCCAAAATCAGCAACTATTTGTTATACAGCTGCTTTGCTAAAAGCCAGAGCGGTTGCTTCCACGTAAGTGTCTTAAAGATGAAAATTATATTTCATATTCTCAATCAATAAACATTTGAAATCATTTAGCTATTTATTATTTTACGAATATTTTGAAATATTCAACAAAATTCACATTCTTTTTCATTTAAAAGAGTATTGAGATGAGATATCTATTAAATTGTATTCCATTTGATAACTTTTTTTCGCTTCAATACGTTTGTCTCATAGTCAATACTTGCTTCATTTCTCTAATCGTAAATTTGACAAGTTGAACGAAATATCGATAAAAATCTTATTGATTAACTTTTAAATATTTATCGTATATTTTTATCTTAGATTTTCACCCGATGTCGCAAGTAAACGAGGTTTAACTGCTGCAGAAATGTCAGCAGTTGAAGCTATTCATCGAGCTGTAGAATTCAATCCACATGTACCTAAAGTAAATTATTATATATTCTATTCTATTCTCTATATATACCATTTATTTTTGTAATAGTATTTATTAGAAATGAAAAGTTTAATATTACCACCTGAACATATTCTTAAACGTGGTGATTCAGAAGCAATAGCATATGCTTTTTTTCATTTACCACATTGGCGTCGTGTTGATGGTGCATTAAATTTACTACATTGTACATGGGAAGGAACGTTTCGTATGATTCCATATCCATTAGAAAAAGGACATCTATTTCATCCATATCCAACAGTAAATAATTTTATAAACAAAATGATATATTTTTTCATTGATTTTGTTTTTTTTTAGTGCACCGAAGCAGCTGATAGAGAATTATTACCTGGTAAAAATCTCTAGCTTTTCTTTTTCTATCTAATAAATTTTCTTTTTCTATATAGCATTTCATGATGTATCTGTTTTTCCGAAAAAAGAATTACCATTTTTTATTTTATTTACTGCTGGTTTATGTTCAGGCACAGCTATGCTTGCTTTACTTACTCATCAATATCCTGAAATAGCTGCTTATATTGCTCGTCTGTTTCTTAATTGGTTTAGTGTACCTATACAATATTTGACGGATAAAATTGAATCAATACTTCCGTCGAATCTCTTTCAACAATTGGCAAAAATTTAAACAATATTATATATATACATATATATTTTTGTTGTCATTGGTTATAATGATCTCACCTTTACTGTGTACACGTGTCTCTGTTTTTTTTTCTTGTTCTATATGTGTGTATGTTTGTTCGTTTCTTGCTTTTTTTTCTTGGTGGATGACGATGCGCACTGATGCATCGAAAAAAAAACTAGGAGAAGAAAAAGACAACAAAAATAAAACTTCATTTGTACTCGAATACCTGAATATAAAATTGAATAGGGTTTTTTTCTTCTTATCATAGATATACAATGGTGTCTGAAAATCTTACCGACAAAATTGTCGAAAAAGTCGAATTAGCTGCAGAAGTTGGTGCAAAAGTTGCTAATGTTGTTGGCAATGCATTTGAAACAACAATTGCTGACGTTGATCATTCATCAGGTACAGAAGAAGCAACATGGACAAATTATTTTCTATCATTTGGAATACATTTTGCAATGGTTATTATTGTTATACTTCTTAAATGGCAGTATGGTATGTATAAGGAAAGAAGAAAAAACAAAAAACTTGATTTAACAAATTTCTTTTAGATCGTAATCGATATCGTTATCCAAAAGGACCACGTGATTGGCGACATATCAAAGATGCAATATCATTTCATAGAAAAAAACGTGAAAATTTACTTGCATTAGCAACAGACTATCCAGATTCATGTACAGTTATGACACATGTTGGTCGTTTAGTTTTACTTAATGATCCAACACTTATTAATGAAATATTTATTGGACGTGCTGATTTAGTTAGTAATAAAGTTGATGGATATTTAGAAAATCAATTGCGTTATAAAGAAGGCAAACATATTCGAACAGGTATTTTAAAAAATATTTTAATAATATTATTTGGAATCAAAAGAAAAAATAACATACGAAACTATTTTTATTTGAAATGTGGAATATCTAAAATATGTATTTATAGTATAATTAGTAGATGAATCACGGTGTGACCTTTAGATAATTAGTAATGTATTTTTGTTATTCTATAAAAAGAATACCTTTGAGTTAAAAAAAAAACAACCTTCTATCTAGTTTTACACTAACGAGAAATTTTTATCAGACATTACTAGAGCACTCAGTGTAGATTAAAATCTCAAAACAATTCGTATCATTTTACTGAGTCACCAGTCTACTCGAAAAATATAGTGACGAAGGTTAAAAAAACATCGTTTTGATTGAGAGTTTCTGCTCAAACAGATGGTAGTAATTGCTGAAGTTCCCTCATACGTTTTATTATAAATTTCTTCAAAGATCAATCAAGATAGTAAAGCAAAATTTATTATATGATTATAAAAACGGTAGTTTGACATTGGTACTTGTCTTTGAATATTTGCAAATCATTATAAGATTATTGATGAATGTAAAACTTAACAGAAAAAATAATAAACCAGAAACGCTTTAGGGAAATGTCAGATTTGCTTTCCATTGAAATCATGATTTAATTAGATATATATAGTACGAATAGTATAAAGTCGATCGATTATTTAGTATTCTGTTGATGTCACGTTCAACTCTCTTTCGAAACTATAATTGATTTAGGGAAACTAAGAAGACCGTATATGCCAGTTATTAAAAATCATTTTGTATTTAATAGGTATTGTCTTTCGTCATCAAGATCATAATGCTCGAATCATTCATAAAGCTCTTGTCAAGCATCTTGATAATGATCTTGTTGGTAAACGTTTTGATTCTATTATACAAGATCAATTAAAACAAATTCGTCTATCGGAAAATTTCGATGTTCGACGTACAACATTTTATTTTAGTGTTCGTCTTTTAACAACACTTACATGTTCATCAGGTGCTGCATCAACTGAAGATAAAACATTTGAATTATTCGAAAAAAATTTATATAAAATTTCGAAAGCTATTCATGCAGATACATTTGAAAAATCTGCTAAAACAATGTTAACACAATTAACAGGTTTATCTGAAACATTAGATATTAATGAAAATGTCTTAGATTATATTAAAACTTGGATACAATATAGACGTGGCGAATCAAATCGTGTTGCAGGTCTCTCTGAAGAAGAAACAGTAACATCAACAACAAAAAATAATGATTTTCTTGATTCAATTTTGAATGTCATTGATGAATCGTCACCACGTTTAGATGAAGATGATATAGCTGCTTGTATACTTGATATAATTATGCATGGAAGTGAAATGCTTAAAGGTGCACTTTCATGGCTTCTACTCTATGTTGTTAAATATCCAGAAGAAGCAGATGCATGCCGACGTGAAGCACGGTAAAATAAAAGCTTTTCAAAATAATTATTCTTTTTTTTCTGTTTTAAATAGAGATAAAAATTATGCATCATTTAATCTTTCATCAGCCGAATCACTTGTCCACACACAAGCGTTTGTTAAAGAAGTTTTACGTGTATCACCAATTGTTCCAGTTGTTATTCATTCAACATTAGAAGATTTTAAATGGCGTAAATTTCATATTCAAAAACGTACACAATTTGGTGCAAATATTATTGCATTACATCATTCGGTTCATTGGAAAGATGCAAATAATTTTGATGTTAACCGTTGGCTTGGAGATAATTTATCATCAATTCCAACTCATTCCTATTCACCATTTGGTTTTGGTCCACGTGCATGTATAGCAGAAAAACATTTATTTAATTTATTAACTGGTATTCTTGCTGTATTTTTATATCATAATGATTTTGAAAAAACTGGCCCATTACCTGAAGCAACTTCAGGTACATTTGGTTTGGCTAATATGCCACCAAAATATACACTTAAAGCTACACCATTTACTACACGTTCATAGACATTTATACAAATATATATATATATATACTTTATATAATCCAGCAATACGTTCCATTGAAGACATTTTTACATATTAAACCAGCGAATTTTTCTTTTATTATTTTTGTTTTTGTAGAAATATAATATAATTTTTTCTATTTGTATTTTTCGTTTGATCGTAGAGATTAAAAATAAAATTCTTTCTTTTATACTTGTTTATATAAGAAATCCATTGATAGTTCTTTTTTAATTAGAAGATAAAAAGTAGGTCAGGTATATGTTAAATCATGAAATTGTTATATTTTAGCGTCATACATTTCTATTTGTGATTGTGTTTTTTAAATCATGATTTATTTTAAATTCTTATTCTAATTTATCAATAATTAGACTCATAATTTATACTCTCATGTATACATATATATATAAATAGAAATTTGAGATCATTCCTTTTAATAGAAAGATAAGTTTTGAATTTCATGCTATTTATTGAACAAGATAATATTTATTTGCTACAATAGATAATCTGTTCTCCTACACATTATTATTGAATTGACGTAATAGAACAAAAGTAAACGAATAATTTCTTTTCTCTTTTTCGGATAAAATAACTTAATCTTGTAAGAATATCAAAATTTTTACTACTTCTCGAATTGAATTTATAAGTTTCATTTAACTATTCCTAACATTTTGAAATTATTTTTCGATAAATAAGTGAAGCTAAGAATCTTGATATTCAAATTTGACATTGATTTACGTTAAATTTACATAACCTAATGAAATGGTTGAACAATATCTTAAAACATATAAGATACGAATAAAATAGGAAAAATTCAATTTTATTCGATAAACATACTTGCAGATACATATACAATGCAATCATAGAGCCTAATTTGAATTCTACAGAAATATCAGATAGTAATAAATATAGAATGTTTACAAAAGTACAATGTTCAGTATTTTATATGCTACTAGAACTTCTGAAAAGCGTTCAACATACGATGATGTTTAGCATCTGATCATGGATAAAAACTGTCATTGTCGCTATGAACATTATATATGAGAATCAATCAAGCTGTTTTCGATTTCGATGTGAATTCATTCAGCGTGCAGAAATAACTTCACAAAAAACGTGTTCACTAACTGCAGTATATTGCGAAAACATGATTCTATCATGTCCATTGACTAGCGCCATCATTTGAAAAACGAGTTTTTTGTCGCTATTTCTGATTGATTTAAAATCGATCTCCAATAGTATATGTTCTAGACGAAGTAGTAGATACTCTACTCTTAATTCATTATCGAATATATCGAAAGTTCCATAGTATTGTTTTTTTTCAGATGGAAAACGATTTTATTGAAGAACCTATATTAGCTGATGATGATGATGACGAAGAAGTATGATATTTTCCATTAATGTAAAACATGAAAATTTGTTTCTTTTTCTAGCAATCGCATGGTTATAAAACAAAATCAAAACATGATAAATTAATTGATTCGATTGTTCATTTGGGTGGTAAGAAACGGTAAGATCTTATTTCCTAAATACGTACAAAAAATATATTTGTAAAATTTCTCTAAATAGGAAAGTTACTCTTCGAACAGAACCAATTAGTAATCCAAATAATCTTATTGCCTCAACACAAACATGTAAATTTAAATAAGAATAAATTTTATTTATACTTATTTTATTTATCCTATAGCATCGGCGTCGAAAAAAATAAAAAGTCATCAATTATTATCTAGTTTAAAAAAGACTTCATCATTACAAGTAGAATCATTAAAAAAACAATTAGCTAAAGTTAATAAACATCAATCTGTACTTCAACAACCATTACAAAAACCACAAGCAGAAAAGGTTTTAGTTTGTAATCTTTTTAATAAAATTTTCATGTGTATTTTAGGCTGAACGTATTGCTGCTTACAATCAAGAAAAGAAATCTTTAACTAAATGGGATCCGATTGTTGAGAAACATCGAACTGTAATTCATTCTATTTTTTTTCGTATCATAATCGAAATTAATTTATATTTAAAATTCAGGCAGAAACATTAAATTTTCCACTTCAAAATGGTGGTGTTCAATTTCAAACTACTCAGGAATTTGTTGGAAAATTTAAAGTAAATAAAAAATGTCATACTTCTTCAAAAATATTATTTTTTTTTTATTTTCATAGCCATTAAGTTCATTAGAAAAGGATATAGCAGCTATATTACAATCAAGTACAAATAATATTCAACCTGATTCATTACTTACACAAGCTGAAAAGAAGATTATTAGTAAAATGGATTTACTTGAAGTATAAAAAGAAATAAACAAAATAATATAATAAATATTTGATTTTAGGCAAAACAAAAATTAGATGAATTAAAAAAAATGCGTGCATTGATTTCATATCAACAAGCTAGATTGAAACGCGTAGGAAAAATCAAGAGTAAAAAGTAAGTTACTTTTTTTTCTAGCAGACAACAATTCGTAATTAGATTTTGCATTGTTTGAATGATCATGAAAACGAGAAATAAGATTAGAGTGTTTTATAGTTTACTTGAATGGATAATGTCAATTGAGATTAATTTTCAATACTTTTATTTTAATAGATTTCGTCGTCTAGTGCGAAAAGATCGTCAAAAACAAGAAGAAAAAGCTTTAGAAAAATTATCAGTAGAAAATCCTGATCAATTTCTTGAACGCTTAGAAAAACTTGAACTACGTCGTATTGAAGAACGTTCAACACAACGTCATAAAAATTCAACAAAATGGGCTAAAGAAAAACGTTTATTAACAAAGTTTAATACAAAAGTAAATAATTTCATTAATTTAAGTCATCCAGTTTTTTTTTCTTTACTTCATCAGGTACGAGATGATGTTGAAGAACAATTAAAACTTGGTAAACAATTAAGTAAAAAACAAGCTCAAGATGAAAGTGATGATGATGACGATGATGATGATGAAGATGATGATGAACCATTAACAAAAAAATCCGTAGTCGAAATACCAAAAAAGAAATCGACAGAAATACCATTAATTCTTGCACCGTCTCATAGCGAAACGGAAGCTAATCCATGGTTGACAACAAGTGCAGTTCTTCCAGCATCGGAATATTCGAAACCAGGTGAAGTTCGAAATGAAGATAGTTCATCATCAGATAGTGAAGAGGAAGAACAAGAACAAGGAGATGAAAAAGTTGAAGATAATGAAAATAATCATTCTCAAAATGAATCATTAGAAAATAAAAGTTATGGAATAACACAAACGAAATCTTCAGATCATCTTAATATGCCAGTGACAACTAAACGAGTTGAAATTACACAACCACAACAATCAAATGAACAGCATCATATGAATATTCAAGAAGCATTTGCTGATGATGATGTTCTTGCTGAATTTGAAAAAGAAAAGACTGATATCATTGAACGTGATCGTCCAAAAGCAATTGATTTATCATTACCAGGTTGGGGTGAATGGTCTGGAGCAGGTGTTCCAGTTAATAAACGAAAAAAACGAAAGTAAAAACATAAATATTAATTTTTTTCTATTAGAATTATTTGTTCTTTTTCAGATTTTTAGTTCCTCCAAAACCTGCACCACCTCGTCGAGATGTGCACCTTCAACATGTAATAATCAGTGAGAAAGCTGATCAAAAAATCTCTGAACACCGTGTATGTATTTTTTTTCAGTATAGTTCAAAATAAAAAAAGACAATAATCTTTTTCTTTTATTATATGTCTTTATAGGTTAGTGATTTACCATTTCCATTTGTTAATGTTGATCAATTTGAATCATTAATGCAACAACCATTAGGTCGTGAATGGAATCCTGAAACTGCATATCGTCGTTTAAATCAACCAAAAGTACGTACACGTAGTGGTGTACGTATTGAACCATTAAATAAACAAGATATTTTTCTTAAACATAATCGTTCGAATCAAGAGCAATCACCATTTGATGTTAAATTAACAGAGAATAATGATCAAGAAAAATCTTTATCAAATATGGAAAATAATTCTTTATTTGATAATGAACAAAATCAGAAGAAAAAATTGAAAAGAAAAAAAAAACAAAATTAAAATTACATCAATACATTTTTGTTTTTGTTTTTGTGTTATTATATCAAATATATGTATTTGATGTTGACGTAACATATAAATATTTCTTTTTTTTTTATACAAAAATCTAATGATAGGAGCTTAACTGACAGGGTGTAAATATGGCTTAGAGTTAAACACAGTACCAACATTCCACTCACACACACATCCATTCCTACTCTGATTGTATGATCTTTGCTTAGGAAGACTTTCATACTTATTCAAACATATTCATATGCACTTTCGTAAACAAGTGTTATAATTTATTACATTTTAAACTCTTTAATTTCATCAATACACTCGTTCTCATCTCTTCCTTAACTACAATGTGTATTTATTGAAAAAAGGAATGATAACACTCGATGTAGCATCGAATACAGTAGTGGTACAATCATTCGTTCCTACATTTCCATTACATTTTGCTGGTAATGTTGTACGAGGCCATCCATGTTGTCCTGCAGTGATCTTGTATCCTATAACAATACCACCCTTTTTACAGGCCGTGTTATACGTTTGAATTTCAACCAATTGTTGTGGATCGGTTTCTTTCGATAGATAAGAGATTGACGATTTATTTTGACAACCATTGCGTGATGCCCAATCTTGTCGAAATTTGTCAATACCGACTTGTGTTGCACCGTGTGCTTGTCCGCCATTGTATGGCGTAACAGTATCTTTAGTACCATGAAAGTCGAGAATGGGTATAGCACGTTGAGTTGGGCAATTTCCATTGAATGTATTTGTATAGAAAGCTGCTGAAACAGTTGCAAAAGCGGCAATCTTTGCAGCTATCCATGGTGTACAAGCTAGAAGATTGACAAATCCTCCACCTATAAAATTCAAAAAAAAATTAGTCCGTTGTTCTATTTTTTAAGCTTGAAATATTATAATAATAACGATTCTAGAAACCTTCAAAACATCGCTTACAGTCGAAAATTTGGCCTTTTTTGGTTTTCATTCTTTGAATTTGGATTATCATTACGATAGTAGGATTTATGAATAGTATTTCCTGAGCTTTCTTCTTTGAAACAGACTTCTATAATGAATCTAATCTTGAGATAAATAGTCAAAACTACAGCATACCATTACTCTTGCCCGTTGCATAGATTCGAGACGTATCAACGCAGAATGTTTTTTGTAGTGTAGCGATCATTGTATCCACAAAAAGAATCTATATTATCAATTTGTTTTCAATAGAAGTGGAAAAGAAATGAAAAGAGCTCACATCATCCACACCAGGAGCAGCATATGGAGCACCTTGCCAAGCAGTCTGGTCATCCTTTCCCAACTTTCCTTTAGGATAAACAGCGATGATTCCTGCACCATTGATAAGTATACCTTTCGGAGATAATTCAGATAGATCCTCTTGTTTCGCCATATCTCCATTGCGGCCATGAAAAGAGAAGACAATAGCATGTCCTCGATCGTTTTTAAAGTTAGCTGATAGGTGCACCTTGTAATGACGAACAGGTTGATCATTTGCTGCAGGAATCTCCATTGACGTTGTTTGACCGGCAGCAAAACCACTAGGAAGAGATTTTCCACAGCCAGAGCTCAGTGCACACTCTGATGGAAGCACCGTCAGAACGAGAATGCTCGCCCAGCACAGTAAGAGCTGTTGTCTCATGAATGTCTTTGAATAAAGGGAGAGACACACTGTAACATGTACTTTCTTTATATATAAAGAGCACTATATCAATCCGTCGCAAAGAGATATTATTCCGAACAGTTTATTGTTCATACAGATGTGAGACAGAGAAACAAACTATAGTAATGAAATTAAGTAATTTATCTTAACGTGTTATCCAAGCCATTACATCCATTTCAGGAGTTTATATGAAGTTTTTGAGTTACCTCATGAATAGGCAAGGTTTTCTTGAAAATAATACACATAGAATCGAAGTACTTCTCTCAAGGTCGACAACAAGTATCTTAAACTGTACCTCGTCATCAAAACGGCTGATCAATTTTCAAGAGCATCTTTACTAATGTCTGAATAGCTATTCCATGATGACATGACTATGGATAGTTAGCAGTGAATGACTTTGAGAGATGATAAACGAAGCAAACTCTGATTTCATCGTTGTTGAATATTTTCCAGAAAAATATTCCACAGGTCTTCCCAATATGATCTAGTCACATCTATTTATAAACACTCAAACTAAAATACGCATTGCTGGATTATTCCAAGAAAATCCTTTACAATATCTGATTGCGACAAATTGAACGTGACGAATTGGTCGACGACCCTTTTGTTCACATGATATATTTCTCTATACTCTTTTCTACATATCATATCTACATAGTATATTCTTCACTTTCTTCGTTCTCTTTCGGACACATATCTAATCCAGTGATATGCATCTTTAATATCTTTTGTTCGATGAATTATATACGAAAGAACGATCATGTGCATCATATAAAAGGAGAAGAAAAGAGTGAAATAAAGCACAATTGAAATATATGACACATTTGTTAATACAGATTTCTATTATATGATATAAACTAACATTAATTTTGATCATTCTACACTATCATGTGGTATGTTATAATCATTGTTGTTCTCTTTACTATTGTCAACGGACAATCATCATCATTTATCACAGTACAAAATGGTCGTTTGACTTTGAACAATGAAGATTATATGTATATCGGCACCAATTTTTGGTATGGTGTTAATCTTGCTTCGAAAGGACCTGGTGGTAATCGGTCACGTTTACTACGCGAATTGGATCGATTACATTCATTAGGTGTCGATAATCTACGCTTACAAGCAGGTAGTGAAGGTCCAAATACAGAACCATCGCGTATGGTTCCTGCGATGCAACCTCAACCTGGTATATACGATGAAGCCATTTTAGATGGTCTCGACTTTCTCTTATATGAAATGAACAAACGAAAAATGCGTGCAGTAATGTGCTTAAATAATTATTGGCAATGGTCAGGTGGTTTTGCTCAATATGTAGTTTGGGCTGGAGGTGCAAAATCAATTCCTTATCCAGGCGGTAGCAATGATTTTGACTCATTTGCTGCAAGATTCTATGAGTTACCACGAGCATTAGAATTGTTTAACAATCATATTCAATTTATAGTAAAACGTACAAATAAATATAACAACATACCCTATGCGGAAGATCCAACAATTGTAAGGAAATATTTTGTAGTGTATAATTTCTAAACTTTATCTAATAATAATTTCTTTTTCAGATGTCATGGGAATTAGCTAATGAACTTAGTCAATATGGTAATTTAAATCTTACATGGTTAAACCATACTGCTTGCTTAATTAAACAGCTTGCTCCAAAACAATTGATTACTACAGGTAGCGACGGTCACTCTACATCAAAAAATTTCATAAATGAACATGCCAGTCAATGTATTGATTACGCTACTATACATTTATGGGTAGAAAACTGGGGTATCCACGATCCGCATAATTCTTCAGTTACATTTCCATTAGCTCTAGCAGCTGCTAAAAAATTTATCGATGATCGCGCTGCCTACAAAGATAAACCGATTGTATTAGAAGAATTCGGCATATCTCGGTAAGCAACAAACTTATACATTGAACTATTTTGCTTAAATAAAGCTCGTACGTATATTTCTATTCTATATCTATTGTTTTTTTAAGAGACAATGCTAGTCTTAGTTCAACATCACCTGTTACTGTACGTGACAAATATTATCGAGCTGTCCTTCAACTTGCTCATCATCATCGCATACCTGCCACTTTCTGGGCTTATGGAGGCGAAGGACGACCACGAATTCTAGGTGCTAGTTGGAGACAAGGAGATGATTTTATTGGTGATCCACCACATGAACCTCAAGGCTCGAATGCGGTGTACGATACCGATAATAGTACACTCGAAATCATTCGTTATTTTGCTTCAATGGCAACAAAAAAATCATCAGCCAACACAAGTCTTTTCTAATCTCTTACATTTTTTCATTCTCACAATTTTCATGTAATTTCTTATGATAAAATAACAAAAAATAAAAGAATATTTAGAATTTGTAAAAAGTTGTGAGGATAAGTATGCATATTCCATAGAGACTATTTTACTATTAAAATACAATCAAAAAAAGGATAAAGAGTATTTGTTATCATAATTCTGATCAATTTTTTTAAATAGTAAATAAGAAAATAATTTCTTTTCTCACATTAACGCGGGTGAACTCGTCTATTGAGTTCTTGATCATCAAAATAACTTCATTATTTTATATTCAATGAAAAATATGTGTCTAAGACTTAAAAGAATCACATCACAGTTATCTAATTTTCATCGACTTTCAAATTAAGTTTTCATTTCTTACACCCTATATATACTCTCATAGAACAAGTCTAATAAAATAGTAAAGATTAGTCACATTCAAAAAAAACTATATTTGACATTATTCTCAATATTATACTTCAACAACTGTATTTGTCAGGTGCAAAATGTCACTCTGTCTATAAATATCATTTTCTAGAACGAATCTTTAGTTTAATCAACAGCAGATACCACAACAAAAAAAAAGATTCTCAGAATCAAAAATCCTGCGAATGAGTATAGAATTACAAGTGATTGACCATTACAGAGTAGTGTAGAGGATGTAGAATAATAAAAACATGCATATCTATACTTGTAGTTTTATATTCATTCACAAATTGAATAAAGCCCGTGTCATACACAGAGACACATTTTGTCATCCGAAATTATTCTTGCTTAATACGAAACCTATCGACTTTTCTATAAAACTTTACCAGTTTCATACCAAATGTTTTCCAAGTATGTCGAACTTTAAAAAAGTTTAGATAAATACCTGATTTTAAAAGTGTATCGTAGATGATAGTCTTTCTAAAGAAAACAGAAGTATACAAAAGAGAAAAACAAAACGACGAAGTGAGAACTATGTGATTACCAACAGGTGAATCGTATTAGTTGTTAAGCTCTCATTTTTTTAATATTATCATACTATACGAAGAAAATGAAAAATAAAGAGGAGAGAAATCGAATCTTTCATTTATGTTGCTCGATGATAAATTTAGCAGAATTTTATTTTGTTTTAATCCTTCAGCCTATATTTGACTAGAGCATTAGCAATTATCAGTTGTGACCCCGGTTTTTGAGTCCCGAGGGATCACCTTGAATAAAAGGACATTGCGTCAGCATCCATGTGAAACTAAAAAGAGGTAGTTGCATTATAAACAGAAAAGCAGAAGCCTAGTGGCATTGTACAAAAGAATATATGAAGGACAATTAAATTTTTAGATAAGACCTAAAGCAAGAACCGTTTCACAAGTGCAATAATGTAAAATAGAAAAACACATGTTTTGAATATATTTTCCGTTAGTTCGACAAAATTCAAACTAAAATTCAGTACAAAAAACAAAGTTTTTTCTTATTAAAGAAATTTTAGCCACCGGTGCATACCAAGAACAGGAAAGATAATTAATTAATTTCCTTTGAAAGTTTCAAAACATCTGTCAATATCGTACAGCATTTAGTGTGAATGAGTGAAGCACTATAAGGACTTTTGTTAATTATGTCCAGACGAGAAAAAAACGCCTTGATACTGGAGAAGAAAGTTAAAAAAAATTCGAAGATTTATGATTCTCATGGTTATAGGATATGAACTCATTATTAGTTTCAAGAGATGCCTTTCTAGCTGCTAACTAGTCAGGCAGATCAACGTTTGTTCTTATTCAATGAACAAAATCTCGAACTAGAACTGAGAAATCCATTGAATCAATAGATCCAAATCTAATTAGAAAGTTCAAATTGCAAAGGTATTATACTTATCGTATTCAAACTTTTATCGTAGAATCTAAGTAATCTAAATGCTACTCAGAAACTTTTTCTTTCTATAGTCAAGGATAATTTTCATTAACAGTGTGCTATTAGAACTGGTACGATCCTCTTGATCATATCTAATGGTATTCTGCAATCATCATACGATTGCTTACAAGACATCAATTATTTTGTGTTTTTTTTATTTGTAGATTCCTAATTATTTATTTGAATACCAATTGCAACAATCACATCAACAACCTAAACGAGTAGATGATTAATTCTTTGTAAAAGAACTTGCCAAATCTATATTTGCAGCAGAGATAATAACAACGAAAACGAATACTACAATCATTTGTTCAACTTCATCATTATCTAGCTCCTCTAGTTGATCATCAACATCCTCAAGAAGTAATTAATCTCCATATAGTTTATTTCCTGTCCTACTCAAATTGATTTGAGTATTCTAGAACATATCGATCACACCTATATCTCTTCCAACCAAGTTTTTATTGTAACAAAAACTTCTATTCATTCATTTGACTTGTTTAAGTGAGCATGTGGGTGTAGATATAGAGCGTAGACATTGATCTTTAATTGATTCTCACACTTACACCCACCCACGTACACTTAAGATGAGAAGTAATCGTATGACTATTAATATTATATATATATCTGCGTCATGTTGATTAACATACTAGAAAACTAACGCAGTTCTTGAAGTCTAAAAATATAATTTTTTTATATTTGATTATTTATCTACTCGATATGATTACCTCCTTCCCTCCCCAATTATTCATAAACATAAAAAATACTAAATTTATTCCATTCTTTGATTCTTTATGTTATAATTTATTATGAAAAATGATATATTTCATAAATCTTGCTATTTTATTCTGTTAGAAAAGTATAAATAAATTTAACATATTCGCCACTAATAAAAAAATTAGAATGGAACAAACTTGAACTTCATATATTTCTCTTTTTGATAATTCAAAGAAAATTTTCTGTTCTGTCACGTGTTCAATAGAAACAATTCATACTAAATACAATAAAATTTAATTTTTTTATAGTTATGTAGACTAATATATATATAATAATCTGTAAAATTTATTAATACTCTGCTTTTACTAAATAAATAAACAATGAATTGATAAAAACTCATGCGTAATAATATTATGTCTCATGATTTCTCAGACAAGTGTAAAAACACGGGATAAATATAAATAATTTATTAGTTTTTTTTTTTGAAATAGTTTTTATTTCTTTTATAATTATTCTAAATGTTTTATATTATTCGCACAACTATTAATTAAGAAACAGCGTAGTTCGTACTTCCGTACTTATATAGTATATGCCATTATATTTATATCGACTCTATACTTTGAACTGCCACTGAGCACTTTCATATTTACAGGAAGAACATCTTAAGTTATGATGTCATTAAGTACATTATTTCTTTTTTTAATACTATATTATAGGGTGAGATATGATGTAGCACTTACTATCGTTCAACTACATACATTTGCTCTTGGTTTAATCTAATAAATGCTCATCAGTTTGATAATTATTATTCGTCATTTGTCGGAGAATAAAAAAACACATTATTGTTGAAAATTTAGATCATTTTTTTGTGTAGCTTTTTGAATATTAGAAAATTAGATATTCTTATCTTATATCATATAGCAGTTAGAATATTTTTTCATCAATTATATCAAGTTTATTGAATGATGTATTTTAGATTTTTTAAAATATATCATAAGATTGAAAAAAAATATATGTTTGTAATCTTTACTATTTAAATATTAATCATAGAAAGAGAATATTTTTTTTATTTATTCTACAATCAGTACTTTTGTTTCCGTCTTTTTTTTCTGTTATGAAATATCTTCATTTATAATAAATTAGAGAAACATTATAGTATGCAATTAGGTCAAACATACAGGAAATCATAGAAGACTCAATAGTGCTTGAATGAATAAATTTTTTTTTCAGCTAAATGTTAGAAAATTTATTTCTTTAAGAAACAGGTAGTGATATAAACATGTAAAATATATTTAATATTGATAGATTACATCAATTTTAAACATTTGTTTGATTATATATAAAGAATTTCTGCTTTATATGTGTCAGAATTGCGTAGAACTCATTAAAAATATCGACTTTGTGCGTCCTCTACAGAGAAAACTGAAATGAGAAATGAAATTGTTTTTATAGATTGATTTGAGAATTTTTGTTGAAAATAATATTTATTTCGATTAAAATATATTTAAAAGCATTTTTTATATTTTAGCGCTACAGTCATTTTGAATATTGATATAGAATATAACTACAATGGATGTTTATCCGTTCATTATCGTTGGTTTTATTAGATAAGAATTATCAAGGGTTTTGACATTTCGAGAAAAGCATGCCCACGACGGGCGCTATTCGAGAATCAAGTGTTATGTCGATGGGACCAGTTAATATTATTCAGACAACTAGACAACCTCCAACAGGAAATACGACAACTAGTACAAATCTACCAGATGATCGTGAGATTTTTAAAGTATACACTTATTTCTAAATCAATAAAATATATTTATTATATATACGTATGTATTAAACTTATTCATTTTAGGTATTACATGATTGTATGAAAGATGTAGCAAAATTTCGACAATATATCTATTATCTTGGCACATCTTGTGATACAACAAAACTACGAAATAAAGTTCAAAAATTAAAAGAACGTATTAATTGTGGATTTGTCCATCAACGTGAAGTTTTAGGACATGGAGTATCAGCAACAGGATCGTAAGTTGAATTATTTAATAAATATATCATTTGATTTAAAATTTTAGTGTCAAAAGTGAATTAGCCGTACGTCGATTTGAAAAATTTTTATGTTTTACATTAGCTTCGCTCAGTTATTATGAAGATTTACTTCATAAGTTTTCTATTTTACTCGTCTATTTTCCAGTAGCTACCGGAGGTAATCAAAGAAAAAATTCTTTTTCGATTTCAATCTAAAATAATTAAAATATTTAGATAGAGAAAATGTTGTTAATTTGGGTTTTGAAGATTCAACAATAACTGCAGATGAAGTTTCATATGAAAATCATGAAATGGAAGAGAATGAAACCAATCGTTATATTGAATTATTGAAGTAATTATCAAATATTTTTATTTCAATGAAAATAAATAAATTCAATTCTTTAGTCAAATTCAAAGTATACAAGCACTTCGTGATGATATCGAACATATTGATATTTATCAATTACGACATCATGCAACATCTTATTCAAAAGAATTTGGTTTATATTTTTGAAACAAAAAAAGTCTAATTATAAAATCATTTTTTTTTTCTTTAGTGGAAAATATGCATAAATATACAACAGATCTAATAACAGAAAGAAATCTTAATAGAAATCATTCCAACAATTTTCGTCATTATTTTAGTGATGAAACTTCATTAGCAGTATGTGAAAATTAATTTAATTATTGTTGTATGTGTTGTGTTTGTCATGCTTTGTGTATGTTGTTTATATGTTAATTTGTAATAAGAAAAAAATTTTTGCTGTTTTTTTTCTTCTTTCTTCTATAGGTTTTAAGATGTCATCGACGATGTCATCGACGAAAATTTGTTTGTATATTATCGATTGCATTATCAATATTACTTATTGTTGGCTTTACAATTGTTGTTCTTCTAGCAATGAGTAAAACATCTAATGGTTAAAATTAAAAAATTGTTATCGTCAGATTGGTTTCTATTTTGACATTTGTCTGAACATAAACGATATTAAGATTGATGAACTTTTTATTTATAAATAACCCGTCCAATGTCATTGGTTTTCTTCGTTTTTATTTTTCTTTTGCTTGCTTGGCTTAGATGCATATGTATCGCTATTTGATGTTTTATGTTTCAGATATATATATATGTAGTATATATATATATCTCAGTAACAACGTTTTGTTGTTCACTTTAACATATAATGATATTCAAACAGCTTGAGATCTATATCTACCAGATGATATAATTTGAAATGTACTATCAAACTTTATCAGATAGATTTTCATGAGTAAAGTAATAAATAGTATAGAATAGTATATTTTTAGCTAAGAAAAAGATGAGTGTTTAGTAAGTGTTGCAATATTAACGTTCGATCTCGTACTCTTCTGTATAGAATTGATATGCCCGATGAAACTATCGATTGACGCTGTTACTTGTAACTACATTCGATTAAGTATATAATTAATAAATAGATTATAATAACGAACAAGTCATAAAAAAGGAAATAATTAACCTTTCAGATTGTAGTTTAGTATATGATATATTTCTTTACTAAATGAATTTAATGAGATAAGCAGTTGACATTAAATCAAGTTTTTATTTATTATAGACTATCGATATGTATAGTATATCAAATAATGTTTATCTTCGGTTTTTATAATTTTATTTCGTTCGTATTAAAACACAAATTAGATACTATACACGATCGTAGAGTATGAATTCTATTTATTTATTAACATAATCTATCATGAATAAATAATCGGTAGGTGCCGTCACAACCGAATTAATATGACTTATATGAGTGTAAATGACACTAGAAAATATAAAAAAAACGTCATTGTATCGTACACGACGGAAACTTAATGGAAAAAATTAATCAATATATAACTCATTGAAGCATATTGAGTAAAACTTGATTTCAACAAGTTTCTTTTGATATTTCCGTCTCTTAACTTGCCGATGAAGTAGAAATGATTGTATAAAGAACTAAAATACAATATATATATATACTGACAATCATACTGTTTATTATTAACGAAAACGCTAGAAGTAGAACAATAAGAAATCAATGATTGCCGTTCTACAATACAAAATCTAATTAAATTGTTGAATTCTATGACCTCTATGTCATGTATACTTTGAACAAGACTCTATCATCATATTTTGTTTGTTTAATATTCAACTAAATACTAGACATATTGAATATTAATTCGTATAAATGACACTTAGTAATTCTTTCATTCTATTAAGAAAACGGAAATTATTAAAAGAAATTCCTGTGTTAGTTTACATGTAAATATCATCGTTACTATATATCAATTACTTTGTTGAGAAACAAAATAAAACGATCAATAATCCTATAATATAATGAATAAAAATATTGTAAATACAATTGGCAGTATTACATCGGAAAAAGATAAAAAATTTCTATAATATATTTGTCAAATGCACTTTTTCCTTATGTAGATTATTGAACTAATGATTGAAGGATATCTTTATTTTTTTCCATTATCTGTGTGTATACTTATACCATTAGCATATTTTATTTCGTACGTATTCTTATTTTTTGTTTCTATTTCTTATTCTTAATTATTTTATTAATTTCAGTTCTATTATTGCTGTATATCTTGGTCATTCAACATATGAATTGTCATTGCTCAGGTAATTTTAACTATACACTAAGAGAATAGATACTTTTAGTTTCTAATATTAATGATATTCATACATTGCATGGAATTAACGCTTAAATTTACATGTGCTATACTGTCACGATATAACCTTTAGTTGCACTGATTTACGTCACTGTTAATTGTTAATCAGAAAGAATACGTATGACAGATGCGTAAATGAATTAGAAATCATGTTTATTTCTATCATATGATATCGACTGAAAATAAATTATCATGAATTGCTTAGATGATGATAATAATAGAAAAAAAAAATATTTAATTAAATAAAGTAAAAACATTTTCGAAAAATTAAGAAAATGTTTTATTTCAATAAGCAATTATTTAAATTAATTTATATTTAATTTATGATTGAGTTTTAAATATTTTCTTTTTTACTACGGAGAATATTGAATCAATTGTTTATTTAGTCAATCACCAACAAAATCACCTGAATCATGTATTTATTCACAAATTATTAATTTTGCTTCATTTCTTCGTAAGTCTATTATATTCAAAGAACAATTTTTTTAAATAACTTTATTTTTCTAGTTATACTGACTATTTATATTCGTTATCGTCATATGTAAGTGATTATTAATTATTATCTTGATATAAAAATATTCTATGTACTTATAGAGCAGAATTAATTCGTAATAATCCAACATGTGGAAAAAAATATGCTCAATTAAATCTAATGTTTCTTATATGTGGAAATATTGCTGCATTTAGTATGAGCGTTATTTCGAATTTTCCAGTAAATATTTTCGTGTAAATTTATTGTAATCTTTTTTTGTTTTTTTATTATAAGCATATTAATGTATATTTTATTCGTATATTTGCAACGTATATAACATTTATTGCAAGTGTTGCAGCACTTCATTGTGAAATGCTTTTATCATTTTGGATTCGACCATTGTTATATTCAAGTCGTCTATTACCGATGATTCGAACGATAATTACAATTATTTGTACTATAGCACTGGTTATATGTAAGTAATTAAATGCACAAGCTAACTTTTATAGAAAGGCAATATTTTTAATTTTGATAATTCTAGTTGTCTGAATCAGTAGACTTCTTTTCATCTCTATAATAAGCAATGCTCGTCTAAGGACTCGCTTAGCTCTTTCTCGTAGGAATGATGTTCTACAATGCTACGGGACCTTTTGCTTATATAGCTTGCAAAAACTAACATCAGATTCGTGTTCCCGACCTTAAAAACCATTTCTTCAAATTTTATACAAAAAAAAATTTCTTTAAAGAATTTTAAAAAACTAATATCAGATTCGAAGTCCCTGCGTCGAAATACCTCTAGAAATGTGTTTTCTGAAAAATTGGTCTTCGATGTTTTTTTGACCTTGCGAACACACTAGCAAGCAAACAAACAATTTATATATTTACTGGACTCTTCTGTACGGGAAAGAGGATAATGACCTCATATTTTGCTCACAAGTAGAATTTAATACAATTAATCAAAACCGTGACTATTTCACTAAATTTTTTATCTCAAAGTTGGTATTTTACCCTACAAAGAGATATTATGGTCATTAGAATGTCTTAAAAATTCCAGTCGAAATGGATACTTTATCCTTGAGATATTAAATTTTGTCAATTATCTGCAATAGATGATCGTTTTTCTAGGCATCCAATATCTTAAGGTTAAAACATCCGTTTTGACTAATGACATTTGATGTCTATTTGTGAGTAAAATATGAGTTCGAAGTCAAGGAGATAGTTCGAATCTCTTTTTAGTCTATAGAACATCGTAAAAGATAAGATACGTTTAGCAATTTGTTACTAATCAAACGTTTCTGCTGTAGCTTTATAAATCTTTGTTTGAAGCTCTAGCTCCTACTATATATATTTTCAACAAGTTATAAATAATCTACTTCGAAATGTATCACTAATTCGATTTATCAAATAAATGATAGAATAGTTATAATAATTAATTCGATTCAGATCAAGTTAAAATTGCATATGTCATTTTTCTAATGAATTTGATCTTTAAGAATAATAATGTGCTACTTTTTCTCTCTTCCAAACCTTTGTGTATTAACTCTGATCAATTAGTAGATTTTAGAAATATTTCGTATTTTCATTATGTGAAATCTTAAAAATAGATGATTGAAAATATGATGAATTAAATTCTTCTATGCATTCCATATTGAATCTCTGAAAAAAAGATGATTATAAATATTTCAAACTATTTAGTTATGATCTTTCAAACAATTGTTATTATTAAATATAATAATGAGAACAAAATTTGGATACCATCAAGTCCGGTATGTTCTTTTGAACTAATTTATAAAAGAATTAATTCATTTTTTTTTGTTCGTCTAGGGTTGGAAATATTATTTAAGTACGATTTTATCTACTTGGATTTTAACAACATCTCTACTTATTTATATTTTAACTATAATAATTGATTTTCGTCGTATTAAAATAATCTCACCGAAAATATTTCTAACCGATGATATTATTGATGATCAAATGAATAATATATTATCATTATCGATATAAAGATAACATTTATTTATCTGTCTTTTATTCTAGTCTTCAACTTTTTCTTTTTTTAAATGTATATAGAAATATTTCTAAATAAAAACTCCATACTTTTTCCTTATCTACTATTTTAAAATATATATAATAATTTTCTAATGAGATAAAACAAAATATTTCAATTTATTCTAAAAATGTGTAACTTTTTTTTTCAAATCTATCAAAATTCAATTTCGATTAATTAATTATTTACTCAGAAAATGACAGTATAAAGTCGTTGTAATCTATAAAACATATAAGATAGTACTTGAAGTTAATTGTTCGATCTATTCACATGCATGAATGACATCAGTCTATTGAAGTGAGAAAATTTCTTTCTTCTATATTAGTTATGTACACTAGATTTTTTGTATAATGTTTATAGTACTTGTACAACAAAAAAACTGTACTTTATTTTATAATTATTAGAAAAACATTCATTTTTTATCTACGAAGAAAGCTAATATAAAGACGTAAATTATTAGCTATTTACTAATTATAATGATATATTTATATTATAAAAAGAAAAAAATAGTTCTACAGAAGAATAAATAAATATAATGTTTCTTGATTAAGTTAATTAGTAACAAACAAGTCTTTAGAAAATAACAAAAGTATTGATAGAAAACAAAAATGTTAGTTCATGTAATGTACTTTTTTCTTCTCTCTTTCTATTACTGACTGTTTGTATAGAGTATATTTTTGATCTTGACATTTTGTCTTTTTTCAGTTAAATGCAATCGTTATTAAGAGAAAATGATTTGTGCTAGACTCGTAAGTATTAGCCTTAGGTTCTAATACAACAGCGTCCTTTTCTCTTCTGGTTTTACTGATAGTTTCCGTCGAGCGAATACATGCAGCTGACTCCCTATGTCCCTTAAAAAAAACAAAAAAAATGATAAAGAGAGTGATATAGCAACCATGCGTGCCAGAGTGTTCTGAAGGCGTAATGAGATCAGTGTTTACGTATGTATGCGTTTGTGATTTTGCATGGTATATTTCCTTGATAGATACAGTTCAATAAACATTTAACTTAGTATATATATATATAAATATAAATATATTTCTATATTTAGAAATTTTTTAATAGACACTACTAGAGTATTGTATAACACGATAATAATAGAAATCATTCGATTATTTTACGATTATAGTATCTATATACCGTGATCATTTAATCGATTTTTTGAAATATAGTATGTCATATTCTATACTTGTTAGGGGCATATGGGCTAGTAATAGTAACAATAAAAACGAGTATCTCATTCGTCTATCACCATTAACAATGACGATCATTGCAGCGAGTGAAACGAATAAAAAATCAACCAAATAGTCAGAATGAAAAGGCAACGGTTGTCTATATGTATATATTTGTCTTCCTACATATCTCTTCTAATGCTTTTCGTAACTGTTCTTTTTTTTTTTTATATTCGGTAAGGATGTAAAGCAGATGTCGATGTTTTTTTTTTTTGTTATCATAATATCTATCCGATAACTAAGAAAACCATGATTTCATTAGACTTCACCTAACTGACACTACTATTAATAACAATATACATTCGTATTATAGTTAAACAAAACATACCAACCAGTCATTGTATTTAGGATATTATTGTATACAAGTAAAGATCGTCTTCCAGATGTTTTTTTAATTTTATATCTTTTCTTGTTTGAAAGCAAAAAAAAACCTATGCAGAATATTCATTATAATAAGTACAGTGATTATTATTATTGCTTGTCATCGTTTATCATGAAAATTAGAGAATTCTTTTACCTGTTCGGTTGGTTTCCTTTTTTTTTACTATATACTTAAATAGAAAATTGAAAGAATAAAGGAAGAAAAAACATTGACACCAATGTGTATGATAATATACATGCACATGTTGCTTGTCAAAACCATTTTTTAACACGAATAAAAGGAAGAAAATTAAATTTTCCATCATTTCTATTATCCTATTCTCATACATAAATGTATTCAGCGATAAAATATGACTACTAATAGTAATTGTAGTAGTAGTAATAGTCAAGAAAACAAGCTTCATTATATTACAGAACAAATTTGTATGTCGAGTATATATATATATATATAATCGGCTTATTACTAAAATCTGTTGTTGGTTCTATTTGTTCGACTTCCGCCTATTTCATTAGACTTTCTTCGTTGTTTCATGTCTAGATTAAACAAGAAAAAGAAAAAAATAGATCTTTTTTTTTTTTTCTATTTCTTCGTCTTCATTTCTATGGTATGTATCAAATGACGTATGATGATAGTAAAAGCAGTAATACGGAAAAAATTATCAGCATGTAAGTCAAATCTAATAATTATTAATAGAATCATTCGTTTTTTTTCCTATTTCTTTATATGTATACGGCGAGAGAGAGAGAGAGAGAGGGGGGAAAAGATAGATAGAAATCTGATTAATTTTATCAATAAACTTATTGTTCTTTTTTTGTTTTTATTTTTGATAATGAATAGGAACGAGAAGAAAATATTGGGTTTTGTTTATTTGATATTTCAATGAAGAAATAAAATAAACAATTTTCAATATTATTCATAGTGAATATTATTGAACATGAATGGTGATATCGATGAAACAAATAATAGTAGTATTTGTTCATCATCAAATAATGCTATTACAACATCCTCAAGTGCTCTTCGAAAACAACAACAAATCAATCGACGTCGAGCGTTTTTTCATGATGATGTTCTTATATCAAATAACAAAACAAATACAATCATTGAGAATAAAATCGAACAAAATATATTACCAATTACAAATACGAATGAAGAAAATTCAACAATTAAAACATTTAAAAGAAAAGTTGTATCATTTAGTACTATGCCATCGGAGAAAAAAGTTGCTGATGGTAAATTCATATATATATATATTCATTTGTTTTATAATTATTTTAAATTAATTTAGTTAATGATTGTCTTCGTTATATGCAAGAAGGAAGTGATCTTCTTAAAGTTCGTTCATATGCTCGACAATTTCGTCGTTTATATAAATTAAATGAAAATCTAACTGCAATAAGTTGGCATCCAACAGTAAAAAAACCATCAAAAGCAACTAGTAAATATATACCCAGAAAAATGAATACTTTTACAAAAAAATCTCCCTTTTTGTAATTTAGTTACAATAGATTCAATTAAAGAAGTGCGTATAGGAAAAACAACTGAACGTCTACGTGAATATACACAACAATATCAAAATGAATCACTTTTTTCTATTATTTATATTAATGAAAATAATGATTATGCATCAGTAGATCTTGTTGCAAGTAGTGCTGATGAAGCAGATATATGGGTTACAGGTTTATCATGTCTTATTGCTGGACATGGAAGTCCATTAACATCAGCAGGTAGTAATATTAAAATTCTAACATATTTTCAATGTATAAATTCATGGAGGATGATTCTGAGATCGTAAGATGAATGATGTTTAAGTAAAACTTCTTGACATATTTGTCATTAGATATAATAGATTATTTTTTACAAAAATCTATTCTTATACTAGAAAGCTTAAGAGGTTTTTAATTAGTCAGTTCACAGTCACTTAATAACAATAGAGTCCTTATAATAGTGTTTTTTAGAGAAAAACTAATCTAAAAACAAACCATGAACATCCTGTTTTTGAACTGGATATTCTATAAGCAAATATCAGATAACCATATGTTAGTCTAGTCGAATATTGCGTATTATGAAATTTTTTTTTTTATAGATCTCGAAGATCGCCAGCAGATGCGTAATCGTTGGTTACGCGATGTATTTGCTGTTGGTTTAACATCTTCAGCAAGCGGTGAACAAATGAGTCATAATGAATTTCCAATACTAAGTGCAAAAGATTCTATTGATGAAGATGAAGCTGTACGATTACTTAGCGATTATGGAATATCTGAAGATAATGCTAAAATTCGATTACAAGTAAATACATTCTTTAGAAAAAACGAAGTATATATAATCAATTTTTTTTATCAAGGAAATTCAAACACGAAAATCTGAAGATGTACGTGGATTTTTTTCTACGGACGAACTTATTAATGTTTTTAAAAAACTTTCAACTCGGCCTGAAATTTATCATCTTTTAGTCAGGTTGTTATATTTAGTATACATGAAAAAAATGTTTATCTTGTTTTTTATTTTAAAGATATTCTCAAAATCAAGATTTTCTTTCAATACAAGATCTTACGTTATTTCTTGAAGCTGAACAAGGAGTAAATATTCGTCTATTTAATAATATTTTTTTATAATATTTTTTTATATTAGATGTCAAAAATTACAAGTGAAAAATGTAAAAAAATGATTGAAGAATTTGAACCATCGACTGAAGCAAAACTTTTAGGACATTTAGGTATCGATGGTAGGTTGATTAATAAATAAAATTTCAATTTAATTATTTTGATTTTTCAAGGTTTTACAAATTATCTTCTATCATCCGAATGTGATATATTCAATCCAAACAATCGATCAATATGTCAAGATATGGATCATCCGCTTAATGATTATTTTATAGCATCATCATATCATACGTAAATAAATGAGTTTTATATTGACTTTTGTCTTATTTAATGATTATCAATGATGAAAAAAATCACTCCATTGTTTACTTAAAGATATTCCATGATCAATGAGTATATAGACCAAGGTTAAAAAAACATTTCTTTAATATATACAAATCTTCTAGTACAAAAAGAGATTATTTTAGTTATGTAATCTCTTTATTTCTCAGTATGCTTTTAAGAATATGAAAAGAATTTTTAAAATTCAATGTATAATTTTACTAATTATTCACATAGTTTATCACGATAAAAAACTCTTCTAATTAATAAATAAGATTTATATCATAAAAATATCTTTTCCATTATTGCTTTCATGAATAGTTAATAGTCATAAATATGAATATTTTATATACATCCTTACCTTGACATTTAACGTTTAAAAATATGCCATTTCGATAGTTGTACTGATCGGAAATGGTTAGCTGTTCAAAACAGAATTATATTTTAATAACGGACTGAAATCAGCTTATATTCGCATTAGTATATCTCGGAAAAAAATTAACTATCATTTCGGAAATTTTTTTAATAGCGTGCATTAAATTTAAATATATGACAGACATAATAGTCTTTAATCATGATCGTATAAGCTGTAAAATATGATAAGTAATGTTATAATGCCTCTTCTCAGTGGATGTTGTTAGACAAGATAAGCAACAATGATTTTAACAGTGGTCAAGAAAAAAAATAAGAATTCAATTTAGAGTACGAGCGTTTATCTGCAGTAATACATTTTATCAATCATTTTTAGATTTCTTTTGGCTGATCAATTGAAAGGTCCATCAAGTGTTGATGGATTTATTCATGCTTTAATGCGTGGTTGTCGTTGTTTGGATCTTCATTGTTTCGATGGTCCAGATGGTCAACCATTAGTACATAATGGAACATTAACAACTCGTATTCCTTTACACGAAGTACTTGAAGTTATTAATACCTATGCATTTGATAAGACAAAGTAATAATTTCTTTTTATATTCTCATATTTTATTCCTTTTTTTTAGTTATCCGTTAATCTTATGTATGGAATTACAATGTTGTATTAGTCAACAAGAACGTGTAGCTCAATTATTTATTGAAACATTTGGTGAAAAATTATTTCTTCATAATGTTATGATATCAACTGATAAGAATATGACTTCCAAGAATGGCCAAACTCTTCCATCACCAAATGATTTACGTGGAAAAATTATTATTAAAGTAAAATTTGTAATTTTATTTAAATAGAAGACAAACTAATTTTCTTCTAGAGTAAAAAAATATCTTCAATTATTTCGACTGAATATGGGGAAATAACTGATGATGAAGATTGTTATGAAGATTATAAACGACGATCAAAAAAAGTTGGAAAAAAACATATTTATTTTAATATCTATAATTTATTTATTTCTAAATAGGAATCAATTAGTAATAATAAAAAATATCGAAAATTATCTCGTGCTTTTTCTGATCTTGTTTGTTTACTTCGTTCGACACCATTTGAAGATTTTAGTAATGCATTTAATGAACGTAAGATTCTTTTTTGTTGTCTTTAAAGATAATTTGTTATATATATATGTTATTATTATGATTAGAACAATCGGATCAAGTATGTACATTTAGTGAAAATGCAGGACTTCGTCTAGTAACAAGTGATCCAGATGAATTTGTTAATTATAATAAACATTTTATATCACGTATTACTCCTGGATCATGGCGTGTTGATTCATCAAATCTTAATCCACAAGATTTTTGGAATGTTGGTTGTCAAATGGGTTAGTTATATATATATATATATTAAATCGTCTTCAAACAATAGATAGATAGTTTAAAGAAAAAATATAAGTTCATATAACACTTATAATGATTAGTGTAGTGATAGAAGATCATGACATTCTCTCATTTATCAATCTCGCAAGGAAAGGTCTCTTGATATATCCCGCGGATTTTGATGAAATTAAGTAGGTTTGTCGAGTGAAGTGAGCCTATTACAAGTATGTGATCATCCTTGATCTCTGCTTGTATATATACTATTTCATTCGTCAACAGACTGAACATCCTTCTCCATCAAGGATTCATTTTTAGCGAGTTCTACATATTTCTTACATATCAGATTCTAAAATATTTCAAGAATATTGCTAATATTTATCGTATTTGTATCAAATACATTGTATTAGTACGTTGGAGATTATGAAAGTTGTCACATATATAAAGTAATATTACAGAAATAAATATGAAGCAAACAAAGGGGTAGTGATTGCAGAAGTCTAGAGAAGAAAGCATGAGTATAGATAAATACAAATTACATACAGTTAACAGAGTGATGCAAAAACATGAAATATGAAATATCTTGGATGAAAATGTACGTTAGTTGCATTTCGGCAATGCTTCAACTATAGTTTTTATAGACACACTCGTTGCTGATAATTATATCATACTTGAAATACATATACTTCAATCTACAAACTCACTAAATTTCATTAAAGTCCGTGGGACACATCTGAAGATCTTTCCTTCTGAAATAATTTTCTCACATTTTGATATAAAAGTTTCATAGTTAATATTGAAAACAAAAATCTTATTATTTAGTGGCAATGAATTATCAAACTGCTGGAAAATTTATGGATGTTTATTTTGGTCGTTTTCTAAGAAATGGTGGTTGTGGTTATGTATTAAAACCACCTTATTTACGACATAATAATACAATAACAACTAATAGTATAGCTTCATCATCATTATCGACTAATAAATTTACTCCTAATTCTTATTCATCAAATACACCACGAATACTTCATATCAAAGTATAGGATAAATAAATCTTTTTAAAAGCGAATTATTTATTTTTAAAAACTAAAACTAGATAATCAGTGCAATTCATCTTCCACGACCAGAACAAGCTGAATTAAAAGCGAATTCAGTTGATCCATATATTGTTGTACAAGTATTTGGTGCGCCAAGAGATTGTGATGAAACAAGAACTAAAACTATTTATCATAATTGTAAATTAATTTATTCATTCTTTTTTTTTTCTTTATAATTTTACAAATGAATTAGGTGAAAATCCACAATTTAATGAAGCATTTGAATTTGAAATAACTTTTCCAGAATTAGCACTTATACGATTTGTTGTACTTGATGATGATTCACTTGATTATGACTTTATCGGACAATATACATTACCATTTGAATGTATTCAACCAGGTTAATCATTTTATAAACATTGATTTTTTATTGATTATTTTTTTTTTTCGTTAGGCTATCGACATGTTCACTTGTATACTATCGGTGGTGATCTCATTGCAAATGCTTATCTATTTGTTCATATTGTTATTAATAGTAAATCATTAGCTGTTGTATGTTTCCTATAATATTTCTATATATTTATAATATATTTCTATTCTTTAAACAGAAACCTCGTCGAACATTATCTCGATATCGTCGTTCTATAATACGTCGTAAATTACGTGTTGCATCATTTCGGCCAGTTTCCTATAAACAAGTTGATGATCTTTTTAAAGTAAAAACAAATCGTTCGATTATTTTCTAATTCCAAATTTGTTAATCATTTAGTCTGTTGTTGAACCATTGGAAACCGCATTTGAATATCGTCATGCAGTTGAACATAGTCTTTGTGAATTAAATGAAAGATGTGGATTACCTGATATATCAAATGTTAAACAATGTGTTAGAAAAATTGCTAGTCGATTACAAAACGCAAATCTTGTCGGTGCTGTTATTATTCGAAATAAATCTCTCGTAAATTTATTATAATCTCTAAATCAATAAATTTCTTTCTTTCTAATTTAAGCTGCCAATGTTTGAATATTCTCCTACATTACCTGAATTATCTCTTCAAAGTGTTGTAGCTTTAGAAGAAGTAAATATAAACATAAAAATAAAATAATTCATATTAACAAAATGAACTATTCTAGGTAGTTAATCGATGTAGAACTTTAATAGATAATGGTTGTATAATACATAAGAAAGTAAACTAGATTTCTTTTTCTTTATAATTGTATATAGAAGAATTTTCTATAGTTATATAGCGTACAAACCGAATTATGCGAATTAAGTAAAGACATTCCGAAATTACTTGAAACCAATGGTGTACGTGGCAAAAAATTTACTAAAGCAATTGATAATTTTTCACACAATCTTGCTTTATTACATGGTCAAACAGATTTATTAAATAAAGCTAAAGAAGATGCAAATGTTACTATACGACAGGTATAAAGATTCTAAAAAAAAAAGAAAATGTCTCATCTTTTATTTGTTTATCTCTAAAGATTCTTGAAGCTGCTGAAACAACACATATGCTTATACAATCTAATGAATAATTTATGAAAAAAGTATCATAATTTTCTCGGTGTTTTTAGTTTTCTTTCTATTAAGAAAATGCTATATTTTTCCCTGTTAATGTGTGTGTTTTTTTATCTATGCCTATATCGAGTATGTATATTTTTTTTATATACAATAAAATTATCCTTCATTCGATGATCTAACAAATATTGATTACGTGAACAGTCTTGATGTTTTGTTAATCTATCGATATACATTGTATATCTTGGCAAAAATATTATTTTTTGACTTGATTAGATTAATATATTATGCAAGTTCTATGTATCAATTAATGAAAACAAGCAATTATCTAATTACATTGCTAAGATTTCTTTTTTTGATGTACTTCAAAATGAAGAGTTTTATTTATCACGATATACCTCTTTTTCTTTTGAAGTATAATAAGAATGTTCTATTGCATGTCGACATTGGATTATGCTTACGTCTTTTGTGTAGGCACATTCGATTAAAAGTTTGACAAGAGACAAATAAATAATATACACAAGAGAAGACAAAAAAAGAACTTGTCACTTGTCGTCTAATGTTAAATGGCAGTTAGACATTGGAATAAGACAGATATTAGTATCAACTGGTTGACTGTTATTATTATTCCTTCTTGGATTTTCTTTCAGCACTCGTTTCAACAAATGATTATTATATAGGATTATCTCAAGAATTAATAACAATAATTTTTTTTTCATATATATAATTTTAAATATAATCTAACAAGATTTTCGTTTCATTAATATTAATAATAAAATTTAATTCGTATTGCACTTGAATTAATACATACAAGTGTAAAGAAAAATATTCATATCCACCCACTTATTTAGTTCTCATATCAGTATTCTTGACAAGGTGTTGACAAATTATAAATCAATATGATTGTATTTTAAACATTTATCAAACCATTATACGTACTCTAAAAGTACAGTTTAAAAGGTCTATTTCTGTACAGTATTTTTGATTTGTAATAATATTGAAATTTGATACTCGGAGATGTACAACAAAAAAAGGAAATAAGTAATGTTTTTTTTGCAATAAAGTTATATGAATAACCGATATCAATGTCAAATTTAATCATCAACAATGTGATAAATAAGGATGAGAAAAGAGAGAAACATGTATTATCCGGATTTTTTCCTCGATATCGCATATATATATATATATGTATATGTATATATATATATACATATGAGGAAGCATGAAAAGAAGAAAAAAAAAGTATAGGAATAGGAAACACCCAATAGTTGTCTACATCCGATAATGTCTTTTTTTTGTACAAGGAAGGACGAGTAGTGTATAGTATTGTCTTCGTCATTCTCTTTTCTTGTCTTCGAAGATCTCCTTGAGACATGGTGATGGATAGGCGACTTGTTAGTTTATAAGACAAATAGTTTACGTATTTGTATCAGTCTCGCTTTCTAACTAGACACACAAAAAAAAACTAGAAGCTTAACTAGTGATAGACAAGATTGATGATAATTATTTTAAGTTTTTTTTTTGCTTTTTTAAGATATTATAATAATGTCATCTGAATACGAGCCACGTTTTACTGAACCGTTAAAAGCTTCTTACGTAATACGTGAAGGACAGCCAGTAAAACTTTCATGTCGTTTTGACGCATCTCCTAACAGTAGTATTCAATGGCTTAAAGATGGAGTCGAAATTGAATTCGAATCACTTGGTATTTCTCGAGATTTTAAGGTAAGTACATTTTTTGTCAAATATCAATACTAATAATTTTCTATTTCCTTTCAAAATAGGTTATCAAAGAAGTTGATTACACAGCTTTATTAATTAAAGAAGCATTTCCAGAAGATACAGGTTCTTATATAGTTGTAATACGTAATACATTAGGAGAAGCACATTCATTTACACAATTAACAGTAGAAGAATTTTTTTGTCGAACACCGTTAGTTTATAAATCAAAATTTTATATTAAAAACTTATTTGTTTTGTACTTTTATTTCAAAAAACAGGGAATCAGAAATGTCTGATACACCAATGAAGCCAATATTTGTTCAACCACTTCGGGATACATCAATAAACGAAGGGCAACAATTAAAATTACATGCTGCAATCAATGCTCATCCCGAACCCGAAGTATAAAAAACAAATTTATTTTTCTTACAAACACATACTAATTTTTTATTTGTAGATTATTTGGTATCGTAATAATATTCCATTAAAGAATTCACGTGATCTTACAGTAACATATGATGGACAATTATGTACATTAATAAAAGATCGATGTGAGAAGGAGAATGATACAGGAATATATCGAATAACAGCTGTTAACTCAATGGGACAAGCTGAATGTATTTGTCAAGTTATTGTACAATCAAAGGATACACAAGGTTTTAGAGAACATCTTCAAGCAAATCGTACATTGCCGATTGTAAATCAATCATTACAAACTAAAACAACATATGAAGAAAACAATCGTCATTTACAATCAAATATTATGGAACAAACAAATGATGCACAAGGATTTCATGAACATCTTCAATCAAATCGCCCATTACCTACTATAAATCAATCATTACAAGAAGAAAACAATCGCCATTTACAATCAAATTTTATGGAACAATCAAACGCAACACAAGGATTTCATGAACAACGTCAACCAAATCAATCATCACAAAATAAAATAACATATGAGGATAACAATCGTCATTTACAATCAAATTTTATCGAGCAATCAAATGATACACAAGGATTTCGTGAACAACTTCAGTCCAATCGTTCATTACCTAATATAAATCAATCATTACAAGAAGACAACAATCGCCATTTACAATCAAATTTTATAGAACAATCAAATGAAACACAAGGATTTCGTGGACAACTTCAGTCAAATCGTTCATTAACAAATGTTAATCAATCATTACAAGAAGACAACAATCGTCATTTACAATCAAATTTTATGGAACAATCAAATGCAACACAAGGATTTCACGAACATCTTCAAGCAAATCGTTCATTGCCGATTGTGATTCAACCACCACAAACTAGAATACCACATGAAGAAAACAATTATCATTTACAATCAAGTGATATACAAGGATTTCGTGAACACCTTCAAGCAAATCGTTCGTTACCAAATGTAAATCAATCATTACTCAATAGAATAATACAAGAAGATAACAATCGTCATTTACAATCAAATATTAATGAACAATCAAAATCACAAGTTATATATTATAAAGATAATCAATCATTAAATAATGCATATGAACATCAAGTATATTTTTTATAGAGAATATATTACGAAATACTTTATTTTTTATTTTGTATAGATTCGAACTGAAAGAATGAACCATACACTTGAAATACCAAAAATATCAAGAAACAATGCTAATTTTTATCAAAGAAAGGCAAGTAGTAGAAGTGGTGAAAGAAAACATGCAGCGATGCCACATGTTTTACCTACAACTATTGCTCCTCAATCAATGATTGTTGCACCAACTGGTTTTCCACCAGAATTTCTTCAAGTATTTCATGATAAAAAAACTTCATTAGGTTCAACAATAAGATTCGAAGCTCGACTTACTGGTACACCACCTTTAAATGTATGTTTATCTTCTTTTTTCTTTTTTGTAAAAATATTCAATATCTATACTAATTATATCTAAGGTTTACTGGTTATTTCAAGGCAAACCAATATCAAATCTAGGTACTAATAAACATTATCAACAAAATAACGATAATGATACTTATATATTAACCATAAATAATATCCGTTATGATGATGTTGGAAAATATACATTAAATGCTGAAAATTCTTGGGGAAAAACAACTTGTACTGCTGAACTTTTTGTTGTTCCTACTACTGTAAGATTTGGTAAGATAATATCAAATATTACCTTTATTGGAACCAATACACCTTTTATTCTACCTAATGCACGCCTATGCTTAATTATCTAGACAGTATTCATTTATTTTTATTTAGAGTACATCGTCGTTTTTTTTTCATTTTAATATTTTTTGTATATATCTATATTTATTTATATACATATATAATTTTGAATGGTTTGCATGTCTATTTTCTTATGCATTTGCTTTGTGAATGCCCTTTTACCATGAATAAAAAAAGAATACAAGAAAGATAAGTATGTCTTTATAGTTAGAATTGTCTTTCGTTAGTTGATTAACAATATGCTGGATTTCTAATAGAGAACCCTTGAGAAAAATAAAAAGCTACACATCGTTTCTTTTTTTTTTTCTTCTTTATGTCTTAATACCACAAACAAATGTTGTCTGTCCGCCTACAGACTCATATTTCTACAATTCTTGGCCACGATCTTTCTTTCTCTTCTTCTTCTTGTGTATACTGGGCTACTCGAGAAAGAAAAGAAAAGATGATAACAACCCATTTTTCTCTATATCTATCTTACTTATGTTGTCGTATTCGTCATATGTGCTAAGATATATACTTGTTTGTATAAACGACCTCGCAAAAAGAAGACGAACGACGGATGGAAGAAAATAAGAAGAGATAGAGGAGAAAGAGAAGTTGCTTGATATCTATTCATCCATCTCCAACCCATCTATTTTCTGTACATATGCATGAAAAAAGGAAACGTTCGCGAACATGTATATTGCCGTACGGCGTCTAGCGGAGAATGATTGATTCTGGAAAATAACATAACATATATAAGGAAACGAGGAAGAAAACGGCAGAAAAAGGAATATACTTTTGTTGGAAAGAAGAAGAAGAAAAAAAACGACGAGAAAGAAAATATACGAGTTATAAAATATCATATTAGTCGTTTGTAGTTCTTTGCTTTTCATGAGAAGTAGTGATCACCTTCTTGTGTAGTTATCAAACAAATTATGCATTCAGGATCTTCGCCACTTGTTCAAGTACGAACAATTAAACATCGATCAGCAAGTAGTGGCAATGATGGAAATATAAGAGGTAGGCAGTATCATAATTGTAGTACATATATCATCATAGACTGTCATTTATAATCTATTGTCTCTTGATGTCGCGCTTTTCTTCTTTTTTTTTGTTTCTTTGTAATGAAGGCTACTCAAATAAGACTAAATGTGTTTTGTTGCTGCATATATGTATATACATATGCATTCGTCTAGTTTGTTGCCTGTTGCTCGTTTTCAGCTCTAACGACGATGTACTCTCTTGTATAAATGGTCTAACAACAAACAAAAAACTTATTTATGAAAATCAGTTGCATTTATTAAACATCAATGAATACTGTCGTATCGTAACGCTATGCATATATATATATTTTGCTTCCGAAAAAGTAAATAACGATAAATAATTTATTTGCGTATATCTCTTCATCAAAAGGCATCGACAAAAACAAGAATATGTTGTCTAATTTGCTTGTTGAAATGTCACCATCACCACCTGTACCACGTAAAAGACAAATTGAAACAAATCAACAAAAATTATCATCTTTGATTACAAGTTCAATTGATCAAGAATCAACATTTATGTCTTCAAATATTACTAATAAACGTCATCGTCCATTACAAAGTCAATCATTAACACGTTATGATGATTATCGTCGTTTACGACAATATCCAAAAACTTTAGAAATTTTTATACCAATGGATACAAATGATAATAATACTGAAAAGCAAAGTACAATAAAACGAAGTTTTGAATATGAAGTTGAGAAAAAAAAACGTTCATCTTCGGAAAATCTTCGTCAACAACGACCTCAACATGATTTTGAAGTTGAACTTGAATATTTACGTTGTCTAGATGATCTAACAAATGAATATGAAAAATTAAAACGACAAAAAAAATCCGTTGATAATCGAAAGAAAAAAACAACAACCTATGAAACAACAGAACAATTTGAAAGTATTGAAAAAATTTATCATAATCAACCACAACAACAACCAATTCATCAATATTCTCAACATGATAATATTTATCAACGATCAGCATCAGAAAATATACTTCATAAACATTCAAAACCAATACTAACAACAACAGATTTACCATTGAGCGATGATGAATTTTCAAGATTAGAATATAATCTTCTACGTAAAGAACGTTTAAAACCAATACATATTCATTCATCAACAAATTCAATACCAGGTGAAACAAGTATTAAATATGTTAGTACAGAACGTTTACCTGTTGAAGTTCTTGTACCTAAACCACAGATAAGAACAACACATGGAGAACATTCATCAACAACTCTAAAAGATGTTCGACAATCAACTCGTAAAAAAACAACAAATATACATCAACAAAGACGACGAAAGACAATTGAAGGTCAACATGAATTACGTATTATTGAACAACCAATTATATCAGGACGAACACTTCCCGTCGAATTTACAATTCCAAAACCAATTGAAACATTACCTGTTGAACATACATCAACATTTATTGTTAAATCAAAAAAAGGTGGTCGATTTCAAACACTTGATATTAGTAAAACATTAACACGTGAACGTCGACTTTCAGGTGAACATGAACTTCGTGTTATATCAGAACCAATACGATCAAATTTACATAATAAACCAGTTGAATTATTATTTCCTAAACCAACATTAACATCACAATCAAGTCATCATTCATCAACCATAGTCAAACAAAATCGTACACCAAAATCAAGTCTTATTCTTGATAATATACAAACATTATTAAAAGGCGAACATGAATTACGTTTAATAGATAAACCTATTGAATCAGGTCCAAGTAATAGTGTAGAATTAATTGTACCTAAAAGTGTTACAGAAACAGTTGAACATACATCAACAATTATTACTGAAACACAACCACAACGACGTGTATTAGAAATAACAGGTAGTGGACGAAAAATTGAAAATGAATATGAAACAAAATATTTTCATGATACTGTTCGTGTTGAAGAAGAAATTGAAGTTAAATTACCTAAACAAAAATATGAACAAGTTGATCATTCATCAACAATAATTAAACATAGTCGTGGTAAAGGTCCTATTATTGATATTGATACAACATACAAAACAATTCAAGGTGAACATGAATTAAAAATTTTCGAAGAATCAATCGAAACAAAAGCTGATACAATGCAATTACTCGTACCTAAACCTAAAATATCATCTGAACATCATAGTACAACAGTTATTAAAGGTCAACGTGGCAAACCACAAATATTAACAATTGATCGTAAACCAATAATTCCTGGTAAGAATTATTTATTTATTTATTTATTTTTGTAAATCTAATTATATCTTCTGTGTTTGTTTAGGTGACCATGAAACAAAATATTACGAACAACCTGTTGAATCTTATAGTGAAATGGAAGTTTTATTTCCGAAATCACAATCGAGATATAATCAACAAGTTGCGTATGATGATCGTTTGATGGAAACGCGAACATCGGAATTACAACGAAAATATCATCAAACTTCAAATGATTATAATGAAAGATATATGTTAACAACGAATGAATACGAAGAAGAAGAAGATATTGGAGGTGAACATTCAACAACATATTTCAAACAAGCACGAGCAAAATATGAACCTGTTGAATTAGTTGTTGATCGACCAAAAATCTTACCGAGTATATCAAAATTAATAGCTGATATTCATGCGCCAACACAGATTACATCAATAAAACCAACGAAATATACTTTAACCGAAGATAGTTCGACTAAAATCGATATGGATGTAACAAAAGATAGATTTCATGAACAATATGATGAAATGGAACTTGTTTTTGAAAGACCATTAGTACGTGATAGTTCAACAACATTACTTGCTAATATTCAATCAGGTTTAGAATTAAAATCAATTCAACCAACAACACAACAAACAATAAAAACAGATATTCAAAAAAGTAGTTCAACATTAACAATGCAACGTGGTGAACAACAATCTGATGAAGAAATATTAGAACTTCGTTTACGTAAACCATATATTCAAGATAGTTCAAGTATTGTTTTAGCTAATATACAACCAGAATTAGGTATTCAAGGACAATTAAAACATACTCCATATATACCTCAACCAATTGAAGAATCAAGTTCAGCTTTGCTTATGGAATTAAATACTGAACAATATAGAACACCATTTGAATTGATTATTCCACGTTTAGATGTTGAATCATCGTCAAGTACAGTTCTTGCACAAGTATCACCAGCTCTAGCTGGTTTACGTGCTAAGATTGATGTACCACAAATAGAAAAGTCAACTTCAACTGTTCTATTCGAACAAACAACACGTTCGGATAAAGAAATTGAATTAATTATGCCAAAACCAAAACAAATTGAAACAAGTACATCAACAATGATTGCTGATGTACAAGCTAAACTTGAAACAAAAAATATTCGTCCAAGTGAAATACAACCTGAACGATCAACATCAACTGTTTATTTTGATGAAACAATACAACATGTTCGACCACAACCTGTTGAATTACGTATGAAACAACCAATCATTGGTGATAGTTCAACAACAGTTCTTGCAAATGTTAAACCAACAATTGATACACAACAAATTCAAATATTTGGAAATCAAAATCAAACATTAGAAAATAGTTCATCGGCTATTTTATTCGATACAAAAAATGAACAAATTCAACCATCGGAAATTGAACTTCGAATACCTCGTCCACATATACAAGAGAGTACATCCGTTATGTTAGCTAATATTCGTCCAACACTTGATACATCACATACACATCTTGTTATTCCATCATCCCTTCAATCCCCTATAAAATCGAGTAGTGAATTGATTATAGAACAAGATAATATAGATGAAACAACAGTAGAATCATATTTACATCGACAAACGAATTCTAATACAGTTTTAACTGAATTAGAGGATACACGTATAGAAAACGATGAAATGTATATTTTAGGTACTAATAATCAATTACAACAACAACAATATGGTTCATCAATGATACATGCTGATTTAAATAAACCACTTGAATTAATTTTTAATGTTGATGAAGGTAATACATCAGCAATATCTTCACAATATAAACGAGGTCATAATTCAAGAATATTAGCAAATACATCTGCTGGTAGAATAGACAATAATTCAACTTTACTTACTGGCAAGTTATTTTTTTTATAGATTTTCTTCTTATATTAATTAAAAGCATAATAAATAGTTTAAGATTAGGATCTTTTATTTAATTATTAAGTGATTTTTAGGAACAACATCTAATCAATATCAACCAGTTGAATTTCTTTTATCAGGTGGTGGTGGTTTATCTGGATATAATACGACAGTTGAAGAATATACAACTGGTGGTAGTGGTACAGGTGGTTATACAACAACTAAAACAACAACAAAGCGAACAATAACATCAGCAGATGCTGGTGGATATAATGAAGGAACGAATAAATCACTTGTTCGTGGTATACGACCATTTGATCAAGTTGATTTAATTTTACAACCTGATAGTTCAATATCATCATCAAAACTTTTATCAACAAATCTTAGTTCTGAACAAGGTGGTTATTCACCCTATTTTAATGTTTCTTTACATGATCAAACAGTTCGAGAAGGTGAATCAGTTCTTTTTGAAATCATTGTTTCTGGTAAATATGACAAAATAAAATAATTTCTATTTCTTTTTGAATTTTATTTTATTTATTAAAGCTCAACCATCAGCTGAAATTATTTGGGATAAAGATGATCAATTAATTGGTGATGATTCAGCATTTCGTCTTGATTATTATGGTGATGGACGTGCAACACTCTATATTCCTGAAGCATTTGCTGATGATCAAGGTTACTATACATGTACAGTAACAAATTCTCATGGTACATGTCGTACAACAGCACGTCTTAATGTTGATTGTAAGTTTAGATAATAGTTTTTTTTTTCGATTGAAAATAATGGTCTTTTTTAATTAAGCATCTGGTGAAGGACCGTCACCAAAACGTCGTCAACTGGAAAGTTCATCAAATGTCTATTATAGACAAGGACCAACACAAACAATCGAATCATATAGTGTCTATTCAAAACCTTCAACAACAATTACACAAGTTACAGAAGAAACACAAGTTTATCGACTACCAGCTCATCAACAGCAGCAACAACAACAACACCAGCATAATGAAATATCTTATTCAGTTCAAGGAACACAACCAAAATTTCAACCAATTCAATTTTTAGTTTCAGCTAATCAAGACAATAATCAAGCAATTACGACAACAACAATTACAACTGATGAAAATGATCAATCACTATTTACTAGTCCATATCAAAATTATAATTCACAATTACAAACTCTATCGAATCGAAATAATCTTTCCTCATATGGAGATCAGACAAATACAATAACTACAACTACATATTCTCAACAACAACAACCACGTCACACTGGTCTTATCGCAACTGTAGCTAAACAAGCAGGTCCAACTCCTTCTCATTATCAATTGGCTACTACTCAAGAATATGATAATATGCAAACAGAATCAGAAATATCACCAATTCATTTCAATCGTTCAATACAACAAGATTCTTCTACTTCTTATATTACTACACGACCTAATTTTACAAAAGTATAAAAAAAACGAATATTTGAATAGTGTCTATTTTATCTTTTTTTTTCTTCTTCTTTATCATTTATTTAGCCTTTAGAACCTGTTAATGCAGTTGAAGGTGGAACTGTACAAATAACAGTACATTTAACTGCTGTTGGCCCACAACATTCTCGACCAGAAATTCAATGGTATCATCATGGTCAACCAATTGTATCAGACAATCAACATTATCGTATAACTGAAGGATATGATACAGCAATATTAGAAATAATTAATGTTAAGAAACATGATACTGGACCAGTATGGTGTGTTGCTAATACTCCTGCTGGATCAGCAACTACTACATGTGCTATCACTGTTGAAGGTATGTAGATTGAGTCATATGTCATAGACTATTCTATATGATCTTATCAAATAAATTATTCATATTATTAACACATGAATAATTTATTGAAGGTAAGGTCATAATGAATTGATAGAGAAATAAATAGCTTAGTATATATCTAAGATAATCTTTTATTTACTATTAATCAATAGAAAAACCAGTTCGAACACAACGTCATATCAAAACAACCCAACAACATATCGTACCTCAGGAATCAGTCTATGATACTCACTCAATTCATTCAACTCATGCGCAAATACCTCTTCATTATCATCAACAGCAACAGCAAATAGACCAAAGAGTACCAACTCAATATTATAGTTCACAAACTATTAGTCAACAACAAATCTCACCTCAATCATTTACATCACAAACTCCACTTTCTTATCAACAACAACAACAAATTTCACCACAATCAACTACTTCACAAACGTATAGTTCTGTTTCTTATCAAACACCACAACATCAAGCACCTTTTCAATCATATACTCCACAACAAGCTTCTATTCAATCACATCAAATACCATATCAAACAGCGACACCTCAACTACAACAACCACAAACAGCATCTCAACCATTTATACCTCAAGCTCCACCATTATTACCAAATTTTAATACTCGACAAAATTATTCTGATCAACAAATAAAAATTCTCAATAATGGTTTACAAGATCAACCATTATATACAGGTAATGAAACTGTATTTGAATTACAATTTACTGGACAACCTGAAAAAATTCAATGGTTTCGTAATGAAATTGAAATCGTTAATAGTCCTCAACAATCAAATAATAGGTATAAACGATTTATTAAAAAATAATCCTTACAATCTTGTTTTTCTTTTTTTCTGTTAGAATTTATCATGTAACTAATCAAACAAATGGAATAAGTCGACTTATTTTTAAACCTACATTAGACGAAGATGTTGGAACATATTCAGTTAAACTTTCAGGACCAAATGAAGAAATAACAAGTGCTAAACTTATGCCAGCTGGTAAATTTAATTTGATTATATATTGAATGATAATTTTATTTTTCTATTAGCACAATTTCAAAATTTACAAAAGAAAAAAGTTGAACAAACACAACGAAAAGCACTCGTTGAAGAACTTGCAGAAAAACAATTAAAACGTATGAAACCATCAAAAAATGTTGCACCACGTACTAGTTATACATCATATGGTACAAGTGATGATGATGTTTTTTATGAACCTGTAAGTAAAATAACAAATACAATAAATAAAATCTTGATGAACGTTTTTCATTAAAGACACAGCGTATAGCTCCTCAACGTCATCCAACAGCGCCAACACTTGGTCGTCCATTAAAAGATACAGATGTAAAAGAAGGTCAACCTATTCAATTAACATGTCAAGTTCAAGGTTTTCCAAAGGCAGAGGTTTTTATTTCTTTCTTTCTTTGAATTTTCTTATTTAATTTGAATTCAATTTAGCTTCTCTGGTTTAAAAACAATATCCCATTGCCATTATCAGCACGTCACAAAACTTCTTATGATGTAGGTAGTGGTACGATAACATTACGTGTTAATGATTCACGACCAGAAGATAGTGGTGTTTACACAGTGGTATGTTTATTTGTTATTAATAAAAAAACTTTATTTGTATTTTTTTGTTTGAAAATTTAGCTTGCAAAAAATCCACAAGGTCATGTTCAAACAAGTGCACATGTTGAAGTTAAAGAATCATCTGGCATTGATGAAACATCCTATGTACAACCAGATGCATTTAAATATATTGAAAAACAACCTGCTGCTGGTCCTCGTTCAACTAAACCACGTCGAGAATCAGATACATCAAATTTACAACAAAAACCAGCTAAAATTATTAAAACACCAATCAGTACATCAGTTGTTGAAGGTGATACAGCACAATTTACTTGTCAAGTTGAAGGAACTCCTAAACCAAAAGTAAAAAAAATAATAACAAAAGAAGAAAAAGTCATATAAAAATCTTTTATTTAGATCGCATGGTTGAAAGATAATAAACCTTTAATGTCTGGACCACGTTTTTCAACATATTTTGATCAAGCATCAAAAACAGCTGTTTTACGTGTTAAAGATGTTTGTAAAGATGATCAAGGATATTATACTTGTATTGCTGATAATACATTAAATTCGGATCGAAGTACAGCTACATTACAAGTTATACCTGAATCAAAAATCGATCAACGATCATATGTAGAAACGGATGCATTTAAATATTTAACACCAGAAAATAAACAACGTGTAGCTAATAAAAAACAGGATCAACCAACAAGTGGTGTTGATAGGTAATTTTCATGTTTTAATTAATTTCGATTCAGTATGAAATAATTATTTCTTTTTAGTGAATCTTTTGTCAATCCAGATTCATTTCGTTATTTAGAAGGTAAAAAGCCAGAAAAAAAACCGGATAATAATCGAACAATTGATGATCGACCTATTATTGATGCTGATGCATTTCGTTATGTAGAAGCTCGACAAGCTCCTAAAACAAAACGAAATGATGATGCTCGTGCCTCTATTGATGATACACCAATTGTTAATCCAGAAGCATTTCGATATTTAGAACGAAGAGCTGATGCAGCTAAATTAAAAAAAAATCAAGATACAGGCCCATCCATTGATGAAACTCCACAAGTTAATCTCAATGCATTTCAGTATTTGGAACGAAGAGATATGCCAAAAAGACAACCTGAAGAAGGTCCAAGTATTGATGAATCATCCATTGTTAATCCAGAAGCATTTAAATATTTAGGTAAATTTATTGATTATATTTCCATTTTATTTTATTCTTTTTTTTGAAGAACGTAAACCAATGAAACGAAGTGAAGATGTTGGCCCATCAATTGATGAAACACCCATTGTTAATCCGGATGCATTTCGTTATTTAGAACGACAAATAGCACCTAAACCACGTGATACAGCACCAACAATTGATACAACATCATTAGTTAATCCTGACGCATTTCGATATTTGGAAAAACCAACAGCAATGCCTCGAATAGATGAAAGTCCAGCAATTGATAATCGACCTATTGTACCACAAGAAGCTTTTCGTTGGCTTGATCGTCCTAAACAACTTGAACGTATACCAGAAGGACCAGCTGTTGATGAAAGTTCATATGTTAATCCGAAAGCATTTCGTTATATTGAAGCTAAACCAAAAGAAAAAGCTGTTGATACAGGACCATCGATTGATGAAAGTTCTTATGTTAATCCAAAAGCATTTAAATATTTAGAAGCTGCACAATCAAAGAAACCTGTTGATGTAGGACCAGCTATTGATACATCAAATTATGTTAATCCACAATTATTTGCACAATTTGAACAAAAACCTGCTGCGCAACCAACTTACGATGACCAGGAACTTAAACGAGCACCACGAGTTCTTCAACCATTAAAAAGTGCACAAGCTATTGAAGGAAAACCTGCTGTTTTAGTTGCTACAGTTGATGGTTTTCCTGTACCACAGGTATACAAAAAAAATAGAATTTAAATGCTATTGATATTAATAACTGTCTTTGTTTCTTTGCTATTGTAGTTAACATGGTTGAAAGATGGTGCTGAATTACCAGCATCAAATCGTGTAACAACAAATTATGATATTCCATCTAAAACAGCATGGATACGTATTGATAATGCTCGACCAGATGATAGTTCTGTTTATACATTAATAGCACATAATCCAGCTGGTGAAGTACGAAGTGATGCTCGTCTTAATGTTTTACCAAGTATGACACCTATTGATAATACAGCATTTGTACCAGCAGAAGCATTTGAAAAAGTTGAACGAACATCAGGATCAAAACGACCACATACACATGCAACAACAGGTGTTGATGATACATCATTTGTTAATCCTCAACTCTTTCAACAATTTGAATCACCTCTTAAAACACCACGTACAGACAATTTTTCAAATGAATTTGTTGTTCAAGTACCAGTTCGTATTTTAACACCATTACGATCTCTTCAAGCACCTGAAAGTGCTACCGTTGTATTAGATGCTATTGTTGAAGGTAGTCCACAACCAACATTTACATGGTTAAAAGGTCAAACACCATTAAGTGAAAGTAATCGTTTTATAACAAATTATGATTTACCAAGTAAACGTGTAACATTAACAATAAAAGATGTACGTGAAAATGATACAGGAGTATATACATTATTAGCAACAAATGGTCCACAAGTAAATTAAATTTTTGTTTTCTTTAGAAAAATAAATTAAAAAATTGTTTTTTTTCTTCTTCTAAAGATGCAACATTCATCAGCAACATTACAAGTTCTTGGTGCACCATCAATTGATCAATCTTCATTTATAGCAATGGATGTATTTAATAAATTAGAACGTCCACAAAATCAACAAGGACAAATACCAGTACAGTCAGGTGTTGATCAATCATCCTATATTTCTCAACCTGATCGTTTTGCTGTATTTGATCAAATTCAACCAAATCGACGACCATACAATGATTTTGGTGGTGTTGATGAAACACCACTTGTTAGTATGGAAAAAATTAATTTATTAGAAATTCCATCAAATGCAAAAAAACAACCATATGATATTGAAGAAAAAGCACAAGCACCAACCGTTATTACACCACTTCAACCAATTACTGCTCAAGAAGGTAGTCCAGCAGTTTTAACAGCAAAAATTGAGGGTAGTCCAATGCCTAATGTAAGTTAAACATCGAACAGAAAAAAATATACTCATTTTTTTTTATTTATAGTTTACTTGGTTTAAAGACAATGCACCATTAGTTGCTTCATCTCGTTTTACAACGTATTATCATATTCCATCGAAATTAGTTGTTTTACAAATTAATGATGCACGACCTGACGATACAGGTGAATATACAGTTCGAGCCGATAATAAATCGGGTGACGTTACCACAACTGCTAAATTAAATATTACAAGTTTACCATCCGTACGTGATCAACCATTTATTTCAACAGATAAATTTCGTCTTCTTGAACAACCTAATCAACCACGTTCAATTGACGATATAAGTGGTGTTGATGAACGACCACTTGTTGATTTTACAAAATTACAACAATTAGAAATTAAACCTGCTCGATTAACTGAAGCAGAACAAGGAGATGCGGAACAATTTAAACCAACAGTTATTATTCCACTTCGTAATATTGAAGCAATTGAGAATCAACCTGTTGTTTTATCTGCACAAATTGAAGGCAAACCACAACCACAATTTTCTTGGTTTAAAGATGATCAACCACTTGCTGAAGGTAATCGTTTTGCTACACAATATGATATTCCATCAAAAACAATCTTTCTTACAATTGCTGGTGCACGTGAAGATGATTCAGGTACATATCGTTTAGTTGCACAAAATCCATCTGGACAAGAAGAAACATCATGTGATGTTAAAGTTGATGTAAATCAACCAAATATTGATCAACGTTCATTTGTACCACAAAAAGCATTTGATAAATTAGAAAAACAATTGCCAAGACCAAATAATGTAATAAGTGGAGTTGATCAATCAAGTTTCTTTAATCAAGATTTATTTCGTCCATTTGATGAACGACATATTAAACATCCATCAGCTATTGTTGGTGGTGAAGATAGTGATGCAGCTATGCCAATATCAGCACCAAGAGTTCTTACACCATTACGTCCATTATCAACCCCAGAAGGTGAAGCTGTTCTATTAACAGCACAAGTTGAAGGTTATCCATTACCACAATTTACATGGATTCATAATAATCAACCAATAATGGCATCAAATCGTGTAACATCACATTATGATATGTTAACAAAACGTTGTTATTTACAAATAATCGATAGTCGACCAAGTGATGCTGGTACATATGAATTAATTGCTGAAAATCCAGCTGGTCAAGATCGTACACGTACAGAATTAACTATTGTACCTGTTTCAAAAATTGATCAAACTGGTTATGTACCTTATGATAAATTCTCAACATTAGAATTTAAACCACGTATACCAAATGAACTTCGTTCAGGTGTTGATGCATCACCATTTGTTAGTGGGGAAATATTTCGTTTATTAGAAGCTAAACCAGTAAATGAACATTTTATACCAGAAGATGAACAAAAAGTATCAATTGACGTTCTTGTACCATTGAAACCAGCAGTAGCACAAGAAGGACAACCAGTTATGTTAACAACAAAAATACGTGGACGACCAACACCACAAGTAAATCAATAGAAAAATAAATAATTTATTTTATTTGTTTTTTGTTTTATAGTTTACTTGGCTTCGTAATAATCAACCAATATTAGAATCAAATCGTGTACAAACCTATTATGATTTTCCATCAGAAACACTTGTATTAGAAATAAGTGATATTTGGCCACATGATGCAGGTAATTATACAGTCGTTGCTGAAAATCCAAAAACAGGTGAACGAGTTGAAACATCAGCACCATTAACAGTACGTGGTGATACAACATCAATTGATAATACAGCATTTGTAGCACCGGATGCATTTCGAACATTAGAAGCATCATCTCCTTTACGTGCAGTTATGGGCGAATCAGGTGTTGATACAAACAGTTATCTTAACCCAGATATTTTACGAACATTAGATCAAACTAAACAAAAACCAACCGACACACCAGAAAAGAAACAAGCAGTTTCAGCACCCAAAGTTATTACACCTTTACAACCAGTCAAATGTAATGAAGGACAACCAATTAATTTTACAGCTAAAGTTGAAGGAAATCCACAACCAACAGTAAGTCGACATAGAATTTAACAATTATATTCAATCGATTTCTTTCTTTTTAATAGTTTACATGGTTTAAAAATGATCAACCAATTCAAGAATCAAATCGATTTTGGTCTCATTATGATATACCTAGTAAAACAGTTCTTTTACAAATCACTGATGCTCGACCAGATGATAATGGTACATATGTTCTTTCGGCTGAGAATCCACTTGGTCGTGATCAAACTCAATCAACAGTAAATGTTACATCTGGTCCAAGAGTAGATACAAATGGTTTGAAACTATAAAAAAAAAAATTTTTTGTTTTTATAAAAATATTAATTTTATTTAGCTTTTGTTGCACCTGAAAAATTTGCTGCTTTTGATCAACAATATGGTCCAAATGTTCCAACACAATCTGGTGTTGATACAACTCCATTTGTACAGCCAGAACGTTTTGCACAATTAGAAGTTAAAGCACCAGCTCCAACAAGACAAGAAATGCAACAACCTGAAGCACCAAAAGTTGTGACACCTTTACAACCTACAGAAGTTAATGAAGGATCACCTGCACTTTTACAAGCAACTATTGTTGGAAAACCAACACCAAATGTAAGATTTTACTTTGATGAAAATATATCTGGGCATTACTTTCATTTATTTATTATAGTTTGTCTGGATGAAAGATGGTGCACCATTAGCTGCTTCAAATCGTCTTCGTACTCGTTATGATATTGGTACAAAACAAGTATTATTACAAATCAATGATGCTCGTCCACAAGATGCTGGTGAATATGTCGTTGTTGCAACCAATCCAGCTGGTCAAGAAACCACAGCTACACCATTGACTGTTGTACCTGATAAACCAGGTGTTGATGAGCGAGGTTTTGTTCCATCAGACAAATTTCGTAATTTGGAACAGCCACAAGATCAAACACGACGACCATTAGCAATTGTTCCCGGTGTTGATAATCAACCATTTGTTTCACCAGATAAATTTCGTAATTTGGATCATGTTACACCTACTACTAGACCAGAAGAAGGACAAGCACCCGAAGCGAAACGAGCACCACGTGTTCTTCAACCATTAAATAATTGTGACTTAGAAGAACTTATGCCTGTAATACTTACAACTACAATTGATGCTGGTTCACCAATGGCAGCAGTAAGAGTTTACTTTCTATGAATGATTATCTTTTGAAAGAAAAAAGATTAAATGTACTAAGACCTATTTAGTGTAGGAAATTTCTTTTGTTTTTTGTCTTGTCTTAATCGTAGTATATCTACTCAATTAAATTCCAATTCTGTCCATTTTTAGTTCACTTGGTATAAGAATGGTCAACCACTTGTTGAAGGTAATCGATATACAACAAAATATGACATTCTAACAAAAGCATTAACATTACAAATTCTTGCTGCACGTCCTGATGATCAAGGAAATTATACAGTTCGTGCAACAAATCCAACTGGTACGGATGAAACAACAAGTCAACTAACAATTCGACCGGTATCATCGATTGATAGTCGACCATTTATACAACCAGATCGTTTTGCACCATTAGAAGTTAAAGCACCAGCTCCAACAAGACAAGATATGCAACAACCGGAAGCACCAAAAGTTGTTACACCTTTACAACCTATAGAAGTTAAAGAAGGAGCACCTGCTCTTCTACAAGCAACTGTTGTTGGAAAACCAACACCTAATGTAAGATTTTTTCTTTGATAAAGTTAAATCTTTTCATTACTTTTTTATTTATTCGTTTTAGTTTGTTTGGATGAAAGATGGTGCACCATTAACTGCATCAGATCGTCTTCGTACTCGTTATGATATTGGTACAAAACAAGTATTATTACAAATCAATGATGCTCGTCCACAAGATGCTGGCGAATATGTAGTTGTCGCAACAAATCCAGCTGGCCAAGATTCTACAACTACACCATTGACTGTTGTACCTGATAAACCAGGTGTTGATGAACGAGGTTTTGCTCCATCAGATAAATTTCGTAACTTAGAACAACCGAAAACTCAAACACCACGACCATTAGCAATTGTCCCCGGTGTAGATGTTGACTCATTTATTGCACCAAAAACACAAACAAAAGAAGGACAAGATACAGAAGAAGAAGAACGAGCACCTCGTGTTATGGTACCACTACGCGATACTAGTGCAGAACAAACAATGCCTGTATTACTTACAGCTACAATTGATGCTGGTTCACCCATGGCAACAGTAAGAATTTATTTTATTTCTTATAAAAATAGTTAGCTTCACTTTCGTGTATTTTTTCAGTTCACTTGGTTAAAGAATGGTCAACCACTTGTTGAAGGTGATCGATATACTACCACATACGATCTCAAACCAAAGACAGTAACTTTGGAAATACTTGATGCGAAACCAACTGATCAAGGAACTTATACACTTCGTGCAGCAAATCCATTTGGTAATGATGAAACTACTGCTAAACTAGCTATTCGACCAGCATCGTCACCTGATGCACTTCCTTCAGCAACACCAAAACCAGTCGAAGTCAAAGCACCAATTCCTACAAAACAAGAAATGCAACAGGTACAAGCACCAAAAGTTACAGTACCTTTGGAGAATGTAGAAGCTACAAAAGGATCACCAGTGCTTCTTCGAGCAACTATTGTTGGAACACCAACACCAAATGTAAGAAATTATTTTTAAGGAGGAATAGTTTGATGAATGTTTGATATTTTTTAGTTTGTTTGGTTGAAAGATGGTCAACCATTGATGACATCTAATCGTTTACGTCCTCGCTATGATGCACCTACTAAACAAGTTGTACTGCAAATCACTGATGTTCGTCCAGAAGATGCTGGCCAATATGTTGTAGTAGCAAAGAATCCAGCTGGTCAAGATTCGACCGGTACTACGCTCACTATTGCTGATGATCGACCAAAAGTACCGACTGATAACAATCGTATAAAGAATCAACCAGAAGGTGAAGCACCACGACCATTGAAGGTTGTACCTGGTGTCGAACATCAACCAACAACAACTGGTCCAACAGAAGAACAACGAGCCCCACGCGTTATCACTCCACTGACTGATAATGTTGTAGAAGAATCAATGCCTGTTATATTTCGAACTACCATTGATATTGGATCACCAATAGGAACGGTAAGATCATAGATTTATTTCTTTTGCACACTAAACCAATAACCTTTTACTCATCTTTCATATTCTCTTCTTTTAGTTCACTTGGTTAAAAGATGGTAAACCGTTGATTGAAGGTGATCGATATATTACTACATATGACATCAAACCAAAGATATTAACATTGGAGATACTTGATGCAAAACCTACTGATCAGGGCACTTACACAGTTCGTGCAGCAAATCCGTTAGGTAATGATGAAACAACTGCTAAATTAGCTGTACGACCAGCATCATCGACTGATGCTCTCCCATCAGCAACACCAAAACCAGTCGAAGTCAAAGCTCCAGTCCCAACAAAACAAGAGATGCAGCAAGTACAAGCACCAAAAGTGATTGTACCATTGGAAAATGTAGAAGCTACAAAAGGATCACCAGTTCTTCTTCGAGCAACTATTGCTGGAACTCCCACACCAAACGTAAGATATCTATTTCAACGAATAATATTTTATTAGGATTTCATGTTTTTATAGTTTGTCTGGTTGAAAGATGGTCAACCATTGATGACATCAAATCGTATTCGTAC